GCCTGCCGCTGCTGTGGCAGCCTATTCTGTTGAGGCCAAGGAGGAAAAACAGGAGGAAACAGTAACTGAACCGTTACAGGCCAAAAAGAAGGATGCAAAGGGTAAAGCTGCCGAAAAAAAAATCCCTAAACATGTTAGGGAGATGCAAGAGGCGCTTGCAAGGCGGCAGGAAGCTGAAGAGAGGAAGAAAAGGGAAGAAGAGGAGAGATTGAGGAAAGAGGAAGAGGAACGTCGCAGGCAGGAGGAGCTCGAGAGGCAAGCTGAAGAAGCGAGGCGGAGGAAAAAGGAAAGGGAAAAGGAAAAACTATTGAAAAAAAAGCAAGAGGGTAAGCTCCTTACAGCGAAACAAAAGAGTGAGGCTCTTCGGAGGGAGGCTTTTAAGAATCAGCTATTGGCTGCTGCTGGGGGCCTTCCTGTTGTTGACAAAGAGGCTCCTCCAACAAAGCGTCCCATGTATGGAAATAAGAAAAAACCAGCTCGTCAAAAGTCAAACGATGCTGCTTCCACTCAGACAGAAGATGATGTAGGAGAAAAGGAAAAACCCACAGAAGAACCTGATGCAGCAGGCGAGTTGGATTCAGCAGAAACTGAAAGGGTTGAGGAAATCGAATCAGCAGATATTGAAGAGAACCCGGGAGTTGCTGATATAGACCAGGTGAATGGGGTTGAGGAAGATGATGACGAGGACGAGTGGGACGCAAAAAGTTGGGACGATGTCAATCTTAACATCAAGGGTGATTTTGATGATGAAGAAGTAGATTCTGAAGCTCAGCCTGTCGTTAAGAAAGAAACAAAGAGCGCTGCACCAAAGGTTAATGATTCAGGTGATGATACAGCCTTTTTCAGCTTGATATTTTATTTTACCGCTTTCTGCCTGTGAGTTTTCATTCTTTCTTGTCGTTTTCAATTGAATTTTTGGAACCTTTTGTCTCACAGCTCCTCCTGCAGTAGCTGACAAGCAGGCAGCCAAGCCAGCGCTTCCAGCAAAGTCAACAGAATCTGCTGCAAAGAAATCTATGCCGGATCAAAAGTCTGGGTCCCAGAAGGGCAAAGCGTCCACATCAGAAGATGTTCAACAGGACAGTAAAGACCTTCGGTCTCCAATTTGCTGCATCATGGGTCATGTCGATACTGGTAAAACAAAGCTATTAGATTGCATCAGAGGAACTAATGTCCAGGAAGGTGAGGCTGGAGGTATTACTCAACAGATTGGTGCCACATACTTCCCTGCCGAGAACATCCGTGAGAGAACAAAGGAACTGAAAGCTGATGCCAAACTGCAGGTGCCAGGTCTATTGGTTATCGATACACCTGGGCACGAGTCATTCACAAATCTGCGATCTAGGGGTTCGGGTTTGTGTGACATTGCAATATTGGTGGTTGACATTATGCATGGTCTAGAGCCCCAAACCATAGAATCTCTGAATCTTTTGAAGATGAGGAATACGGAGTTCATTGTTGCCTTGAATAAGGTAAGGCTACTAGTCGTTCTGCTAAATATGGGTGGTTTTGTTTGTTTCTATACTTGTGTGGAGACTTGAACCTCCAATTTGCAGGTGGATAGGCTTTATGGGTGGAAAACATGCAAGAATGCTCCTATTGTGAAAGCAATGAAGCAGCAAACGAGAGATGTTGTTAATGAATTTAACATGAGGCTTACTGGGGTAAAATTATACGTCTAGAGGCTTTTTCTTGATTTCAGCTCTCTCTCCCTCTCCCCCTCTCTCTCTGGTATATATTATCTGATTCTGCTCTGTCTGGGTATTCTAGGTTATCACCCAGTTCAAGGAGCAAGGACTCAACACTGAATTATACTACAAAAATAAAGAAATGGGGCAAACTTTCAGTATTGTACCTACAAGTGCTATCAGGTTCGAACATGTGTTTATTATTTTCTTTGATTTCTGGCCAGACAATCAGGGCATCAGTGAAAAAAAGTTCACTTTTGATTTTTGGGATTTCAGTGGAGAAGGTATCCCGGATCTCTTGTTGTTGTTGATTCAATGGGCTCAGAAAACAATGGTCGAGAAACTTACATACATTGATGAAGTGCAGGTTTGTCCCATTCCTATTCTAGGGAAACAATGTTACCTACACCATTTCAACATAACAATTATTATATTTTGTTAACAGTGTACAGTCCTGGAGGTCAAAGTTGTGGAAGGCCATGGTACAACGATTGATGTTGTGTTGGTCAATGGCGTGCTCCACGAAGGTGATCAAATAGTTGTTTGCGGGTTACAGGTAAGTGAAAAACCTGGTGAAACTAAGCAAATTCAAACCAAAAAGTTTAAAAGCAAATTGTTGATGGTATGTTTCCCTTTTCCTATTTCAGGGGCCAATCGTCACAACAATTAGAGCATTATTAACACCTCATCCAATGAAGGAACTACGAGTGAAGGTATTTGAACATAACTGGATGTTACACATGCTTCAGCTCCTTTCTTGACGGGATTTATTAGAACTTTGTGGTTTGATGTTTCAGGGTACTTACTTGCATCACAAAGAAATAAAAGCTGCACAGGGTATCAAGATTACTGGGCAGGTGATTGATCATTCTGATATAAGCATTTGCTTGGTGTCTTTACAATTTTTACATGCATTCCTTTTGACAGCATCCGCAGTTCAATATAACTGATCTTTGGATCACAATCTGAACTGAAGAAGGTTTCCTGATATTTGTGTTTTTAAAGGGCCTCGAACACGCTATTGCTGGTACTGCCTTGTACGTTGTTGGACCCGACGATGACCTGGAGGATGTCAAAGCATCAGCAATGGAAGATATGAGGTCGGTTATGAGCAGGATTGACAAAAGTGGTGAAGGAGTTTATGTGCAAGCATCTACTTTAGGGTCTTTGGAAGCGTTGCTCGAATTCTTGAAGACCCCGGAAGTGAAGATACCCGTCAGTGGTATTGGCATAGGTCCTGTACACAAGAAGGATATCATGAAGGCCAGTGTAATGCTCGAGAGGAAAAAGGAATTCGCTACCATCTTGGCTTTTGACGTGAAAGTTACTACAGAAGCCCGAGAACTTGCGGATGAGTTGGGAGTTAAAATCTTCTGTGCCGATATTATCTATCATTTGTTTGATCAATTTAAGGCTTATATCGATAATATCAAGGAGGAGAAGAAGAAGGAAACTGCCGATGAAGCAGTCTTCCCATGTGTACTGCAGATCTTGCCCAACTGTGTGTTCAACAAGAAAGATCCCATCGTCCTGGGAGTCGATGTTGTTGAGGGTATAGTTAAGGTATTATGCTATTTACTTTCCTCAGTTTCATCGCTGTAACACTCACGAAACATATCCACGTATGTATTGTGTTGACAGGAACCTATTCTTAAGTTGTCTTAACGCGTGGTTTCATTTGTTCAGGTTGGAACTCCCATCTGCGTTCCGCAAAGGGAATTTATCAATATTGGACGGATTGCATCTATTGAGAACAACCACAAACCCGTTGACTATGCAAAGAAAGGCCAGAAGGTCGCTATCAAGGTATAAATAACTAGATCATTCTCTTCATACACCCATTTCAGTTCCATCGATCTTTTTCATATTTTCCCTGTTGGTTTTCACAGCTTCAACATGGAATAGTTCCTCTTGTTTTATCTTGGCAAGAAAACCGATCCTTTGAGAGTCTCGGTTTCAGTTGCACACATTGATCTTGTAATGAAACGTCTGCTTTGATACAGATTGTTGCTTCGAACCCTGAAGAACAGAAAATTTTTGGAAGGCATTTCGACATGGAAGATGAGCTTGTCAGCCACATTTCAAGGGCATCCATCGACATACTGAAAGCTAACTACAGGGTAAGTTCCAACTTTATAACTTAATAACATCCTCTTTTTTTTTTTTTTTTTGGGCATCATCGAGCTTTGAAACTAATCGCTTTAAACCGAACGCGAAAAACACATCGACAGGACGAACTATCTATGGAGGAGTGGAGGCTGGTCGTGAAACTGAAGAGCATTTTCAAGATACAATAAGATTCACCAGACAAGGCTGATGAAGCTCTGCATCTAGTGTTTTTTTTTCCTCCCTACGGGGAGACGGGTTTCGCTCGGGATCTGCCATAACCCCGAAACACGACGGAGACAGAGGAGTGAAGAGGTTGGAGGAACAGAACCAGGTCATGTTTTGTTTTTGCTTTCTCCCCCTCTGAGAAATGGTTTGATCATTGCTCCCTGGTTCGTTAGCGCTGTCTTATATAATATTTCCCCAAATGCTCTCTGCGGCTAGTTGCAGTTGGAAACGAGGCTTCGTATACATTCTGATATTTGTTTTTTTTTTTAAAAAAAAAATTAAAGTTTTGGTGGGAAAAGGGAAAACAAGAATCGAATAAATCTCGGTGGGGGTTTTTTCTTTAACTCCTCTCATTTATGTGTTTTAATATATAGGAAAATATATAAATTATACTCACAATATTACATTATTAAACTACATTCGAAATATTTATATTTTGAAAATAACGACTGGTCTGTGTTTAGACTGTTCTTCTGAAAATAAGACGTATTATTTAAGTTTAGGTAATCAAAAGGTTTGAAATTATTTTGAATGTTTGTATATTATGTAAAAGTTTTGATTTAAGTGTTGCATTTAAACGATAGAAAAAAATTTATATGTTTTCTTTTTGAAAATTTTATATACCTTTTTTTTTTTATGGGATTTCGATAGACTTCTGTATTATCGGGATTCGGGTATACTCCCTCCATGGCCACTTTTTCGTGGTGTGCGCACACCGTGTAATGCAAAGTGTTGGATTTAGCTTTACGTGGAAATGAAATAATAATAATAATACAATACGACAAACAATTTGCAAAAAAGTAGCATTTGCATTTTTTTTAATCTCTCTTTTGGAATTATTCAAGTGCTTTTTCTTCTTTACCATAGAATGTGGTCCACGGTACGTTTGATGTGATTCTGCAAATTGTACAGTGAGAATGTCATATAATCAAAGATCTAATTAGCATTTCGACTCTTACATTACAAATATTTTAAAAAAAAAACCATTTAATAAAAACTTGTAATAACTATAAATTCAATAGACAAACTGTTTTATTTAATAATGACACGGCTTTTAAGATGAAGACAGAAACATCAGTGTATCGTACGCCATCCTTGTACATTTCCCCACCACCTTCACGAATCACGGTCCAAAACTTCGATACACATAAATATTATATTACGTGACATATTTGCATGAACAAGATGAAAGACCGTTTCTTCCTTCCTTCCTTCCTTCCTTCCTTCAACTCACCCATTCACGTTTCCCACGTACGTGTATATATACACGTATACGTACAAGTACGTACCACGTTTTTTTTTGGTTCAAAGACCATGTGAACCAATTAGCTTGGTCAAGCCAAACGTAACGGCCATTGCCAGCCAGCCTCCGAACAAAACCCTAGCCGCCGATCTGGCCGCCGGAGCTTTCCCGAGCACCGCTCCTAACCACCCGAAAACCACCAACGCCGCCGTCACGGCCGCCACCACCGCTCCTATCCTCGTTTTATATCCCCTTATAAACGCAGCCGCTAACAGCGGCACAATCGCACCCGCTGCAAACGCTAAGGCGGACGCCGCGGCCGCCTGCAATGGGCTCGGCAGCCTCTCCCCCTGTTGGGGACAATATCAAGAAAATTATGAATCAGCAAAAGAAGAAATTCATACGCTTTTTAAGCTATGGATTTGTTGCCATGAAATTTTTTGAACACTTTAATTATCAATAACAATAACAAATTTGATCTATAATTTGAAACTTATAGATACATATATAATGGAAAATTATGGAAAGTTCACCCCTTTTTAGAGTTCAATTCTTTAAAAGAGACCATTACATGCTACAATATATTCTATTAATTAGGATTATATTGCAGTATTAGAATGGTTATGTTACGGTGTATATGTATATATGTTATACCTCGGCCGCCGTGGCCGCGGTGGATTCCGGCGATCTCTGCCGGCGTTCTCTCTTGATCTGAGCGACCTGGATGTCGTACTGAGAGTAGACGGAGACGAATTCTCCGATGGCCATACTGCAAGCTCCGGCGACAAGTCCGGCGAAGCCGGTGAGGATCATAACCTTGACGTCTTCCTTGACGGCTCCGACTCCCATCATCAGCGACGCCGTCGACACTAACCCGTCGTTCGCCCCCAGCACCGCCGCTCTTAGCCACTGCGCCCTTTTCCAGTAGTCGAACTCTTTTTCTTCTTCCTCACCACCACCTGTTTTTGTGAATCATAAATCATATTTACGATAAAGTTTATTTTCTTACATACAAATGTAACGAAATCGATGATTTCTATGGAGACGGAACATAAATCTTTGCATGGATGATCACTTAAACAGGACTGGAAGCTTTTCTTCTGCCACCTTTGTTGTTTTTCTTACGATCTGTAAATTTTCTAGGTTATGATGATCTATTGCATAAAGATGGAACATGAAATATGAATGAGACGTGACGATTACTAATCCCATACGGATTTTTTTGTTAGATACGAAAGAAAGTTTCTTTACCTTTGTTGTTGTTGATGGATTTCTCCACGTCGAGATTCATCATGTTGATGTTGTTGTTGTTGCTGTGGGTTGATGATGATTCCATGTTTGGCTGCAAAAATATTTGAATTTTTGGATCCAAATATATAAAGAGATGGGTATATATGTAATGGTTCTATATATTATATGACTATGTATGTTGTTTTTAGAATAGAGAATTGGGAGAAGTGTGGAGAACACACGCCTGTGAGATGTTCTATTTATGGAGGGATGAGGGCCTCTGCAGATTTGTCTCGGTGGAGACATTATGTGGAGCATATCCACTAATGGAATATTTTATTTTATTATATATATATATGTATGTATACGTGTGCGTGTGTGTGTAATAGAAGTATATAATAATTTTAAGTTTACAATATTTAGAAAATCCAAGGAAAAAAGGGTTTTACTCTGAGTAAATCTCGAAGTTAACAGGTTTTAAAGGTGTTCTCTAGAGATTGAACTGCGACCCACACACACAATATATATATATATATATATGTATATATATATGATTGTTATTGCTTCGTGTCGGTTTGATAAGATGACATGAAATGTGTAACGTCTGGTATGTGACTAAGTCATTTAGAAGCTTCAAGCTGGTACATTGAAATGCTTTTTTCGTGGTGCGAATTTAAAATATTAGAATTGCACATATATATATATATATGTGTGTGTATGTGTGTGTGTCCATGTATACAATATGGTAATAATTTTATTACTTCAAAAAAAATATATCCATTTCTTATGTAAACAATAAACCCTAGTTATTCATTACCAAAAAAAAAAACATTACCAAAAAAATAAACCCTAGTTATTATTTTGTATTTTCGTTTCTGCTTTTTTTTTTCCCAGATAACTAACCGAATTAATCACCCGAAAATCGAGAAGGCGTAAAATAGTTTCTTATCATATTTAATAAGTAAAGTAATAATTTAGCAAAATATTTATAATCGTATGTTCCGCATCATTATCAGCAAGTGGTCTTCCGCGTACGATACATAGTTAAGCAAAGTATCATTAATCATAATACATGATTTATGAACATGTCGATTCTAAAATTGAAAAACGAATGATTTAAAAAAAAGAAGAAAACTTGATTTATCTAATTATTTATTTTCTATTTATTGAAAAGGATGGAAAAAATTAGGTCACTGATGAGACCAAAAAGAGGCAGTTACACATGAAGATGCTGTTGTGTCCTCTTCATGATCAAAGGCATGCATGTCTTTTAGGGGAAAAGAAAGATGCAAAATAATAATAATAATAATAATAATAATAATAATAATAATAATAATAATAATAATAAGAGAGAGAAAAAACCTCCATTTCTAAGCAGTTGTTGAATAGTATACGCAACCTATGCTCCGAAAAATAATTATAACTTTATTAATGTTAAAATTATATATCGGATGATTAAAAATACATAATATTTGCAGGTAAATAAATTTTTTTATTTATGGGCTGTTTTTTTCCCAATCATTCATACTCTGATTTCCAATTTTGTTTATCTTTTCGTTTTTCTAATTTAAAATAAAATATTTATAAGGAAACCTTTATCGTTATGCGGTATTTCTTCATTGGTCTAGACAAAAACAATATGCTTTTGTTTTTCTTGGCAAAGGAACGAGCCAAAAAAGAGTGGCTAAATCAATCACACTGTTTTTTTTATTATAATAAAATGTTAATACATTTTATTAGTGTTTGACCAAAAGTGATGAATTGTTTTAATTTGACGTTTCTAAATACAAAAAATAAAATATATTGTAAAACTTGTTGTCCTCGAACTATATTCTAAATTAATGATATGAATAATATATTCATTCTTTGGTAAGTTTGGCCCAAAAAAATGTACGTACACCATAAAATTAAATTAGACAAAGTAGTTATATACAAAAATACAAGTAGATATATCTATAGATTGCATAAATCTTTCTCCACCTTGGATTATCATTTTCTCTTGAGGAAAAGGTTTCGACTTTATTTGTATCTTTTTATAACTGGATGGGATCAAACAGTACCTTTGGAACAAAGTCTAGTGGAGATTTTATATGTGATGTTTATATATATATATATATATTCCTTTGCTACGTCTCTATGTGTGGACACTAGTTTTATCAAAAACCGTTTAAAGAAATCTAATAATCTCTTTGGGTTGAATCTGAATAAAGTTCACCGTGGTTAGCTAAAAATTTCATTATAATACCTTTATTATTATATTTATCCTTTCTATTTGCTATAATTAGTAATCAAATGAACCGTATTTAATATTATCCTTCAAAACAAGATTTAAAGAAAAAATAATTTTTCTCGTAAAATGTTTTGGTGAGTGGTGATTTTTTTTTGTTTGTTGTGCCTAACCGGATATGATCAAAACCTTTACCTTTTTAATTTAATTTTTTATTGCAAGCCACGCATACACACAATATATATATATATATATAGCAGTTCTGTAAATGTATAAATTATATTTTAGATCAATTATGGTTGTTTCGTTTAATTCATTTGTTTGTAATTAACCTAAAGAATATTTTTACACAAAATATTTGCAATGATTGGTACCAAAATAGTAGAATTAATTGAGCTTTTACTATGGATTAAAGGTTTAATTTCAATAAAATCATATAAATAATCTTCTTAAATAAAGTAAATTTCCTTGTTCCAATTTTTAGTAGTTTTGTGCGAAAAAATAAATTCTTAATTTATAAGATAGAGGATTGAATAAATTTAAATTGCAGACCAACACTAGAAATAATAATGAGAAATGAAAAGATTATTACCATGAATAATGAACCGACACAAATGGAGATATTCTATGCAGTTTAAGGCCAACTAATTTATGTTTAGAAAGAATCATAAGCGAATCAGATGCTTTTCACACACAAAGGGAGCAAGAGATTCGTTTACACGTGAAATTCCTATATAATAAGCAGGTTTATTATATAATATTATATATATACATATATAACCATGAATAATGAACCGACACAAATGGGGTTATTTAATGCAGTTTAAGGTCAACTTATTTATGTTTAGAAAGAATCATAAGCGAATCAGATGCTTTTCACACCCAAAGGAAGCAAGGGATTACAAGTGAAAATCCTATACAATAAACAGGTTTATTATTATTATTATTATTATTGTGAAATAAAAATAAATGAATAGAAAATTGAAAAGAAATGGATTGCTGAATGGGAAAGCACTGCGAAATTAGTGAGAGATAAATCATGGAAAGAGATTATATAAAAAAATAAAGAGGAGTGTGGTTTCCACACGAATAGCACCACCTCCACCATCACCACCAAGCATATACATACACTGTCACGCTCATACATATACGCGCATATATACATATACACATTATGCATATGTGTACGTAGATGCATACGTAAATGGACATATATATATATACACACACGCGTCGGTTAACATCAACAAATATTGAACTTTTTTTTTTGTTACGATGGAAACCCCTATCCTACAACCCTTTGGATCGGACACCGGACACCGCAACGCCTCTCAGTCCATGGGCCGGACGAAAACGGCATCAGGACAACATCGCGGACCTGAGAAAACCCAACGCCCTACACAGTAGCCGACAAACCACGCAGAGCAGGTAAACCAGCTTCATAAAACTGACCGGCTCAAGAGGAGTACCATACTTGGGATTCGAACCCACAACCTTATGGTAGAGGGGGTTGTCATTAACCCCTAGACCGGGAGACTCCCCAAATATTGAACTTTCTTGTACACATATATGCATATATAATATATTATATGCACAAATTTCATTAAAAAAATTTAATATTGCATGATGTTATTAGACCGTTTAGAGTAAACGGTACGTATTTTAATTGAACCAAAAACATGAGACTCAAAATCAGGGTTCTACACTCTGATTATATATTTATATTTATATGTGATATCTTTGTTATATTAAGAAAAGGTTAAATGCTAAAATTCAAATTTTATAAAGCAATCCAAGAATCTCTTTAACTACCATAAATAGTTTTCACATGATCACTCCAATTCATTATATATGTATATAATTAACAAATTAGCGCACGCATACACACACACACACACATATATATACACACATACGCGTGTGATTGTTTATATATAGACTGATCCATATGGAAATGCACTTCAACCTTTCGAGTGTCGTCCAACACCTACTTATGATAAAACCTAATAATTCAGTTGTATCGCTCGAAAAAAGAAAGTCAACATTTTAATTTGACGTTTCTAAATACAAAAAATAAAATATATTGTAAAACTTGTTGTCCTCGAACTATATTCTAAATTAATGATATGAATAATATATTCATTCTTTGGTAAGTTTGGCCCAAAAAAATGTACGTACACCATAAAATTAAATTAGACAAAGTAGTTATATACAAAAATACAAGTAGATATATCTATAGATTGCATAAATCTTTCTCCACCTTGGATTATCATTTTCTCTTGAGGAAAAGGTTTCGACTTTATTTGTATCTTTTTATAACTGGATGGGATCAAACAGTACCTTTGGAACAAAGTCTAGTGGAGATTTTATATGTGATGTTTTATGTTTTCCAACTAGAAATTTAATAATAAAATTATGAATTTTGTGTCCGGAGAAAAAAATAGTGAATTAATGAATAAAAAAACACACAAAAATCGAAAGATCTTATGCAAAATAAACCGAAACCCTCAATTTATAACGTTTTCAGATTATATTCTTTAGAACACAGTTTCGTATTTCATAGAATTCCAATTTGACCTATCAAACGGATCTAAACCGAACCAAATCCGAAAATGCTAGCTGAACCAAACATAAACCGAGAATTTCGTACGTAGTACGATATGGGCCCCCAAGAGTTTATTAAAGACATAAAAAAAACCCAAAAACTCCGTGCAAACACATTCATGTTCGAGGCAAAAATACGTTTCCTCTTCAGACAAAACATAGAAACAAAAAGAGTTCTAAATCCATAGCCACATCCACAAAGGGGCTTGAACCCCCAGAGAGAGAGAGAGAGAGAGAGAGAGAGAGAGAGAGAGAGAGAGAGAGAGAGAGAGAGAGAGAGAGAGGGGCAATTACAAAAGATCAAAGGGCTCCATTCACTTCACTCTGTGTTGGGATTGCAGTTCAGGCTGTCCTGAGAGGCGGAGACACCAATATCACTCCATCTCCTCTAACAAACAGAAAAGGGACCGTCCTCTTTGTAGTCTGCTCAATCAAAAAACCAAACAAACAATCAAAGAAGTATATGGGCATACAGAAACATGGACTATACCCACTCTCTCAAATACACAATACATGTTATGTCATGCCCGAGAACCACACGGTTAACGATCGTGCATTCCGTAAAAGGGTCTGTCCTAATAGAAACAATAAGCATAATAAGCTACATCGAAATGGCAATTCGTGTGTTCAAAATCGCATCTTATCGTTCAAAACCCAATATCTATTTGAGGGTAGTAGCTATTCATCTTTCCATTCCCATTTCAACAAAGAAAATCATCATTCAAACTACCACACAACACATTTCCATCGGCATTACATCAAGCTGAAAACTTTTACACGAGACACTGTTATATGTTAACCGAAAATCGTATATCATCGTTCAGAACCCAATATCTGTCGAGGGCAGTAGCTATTCATTCACCTTTCCATCCTCATTTCAACGAAAATCATCATTCAAACTACCACTCAACACATTTCCTTCAGCACTACATCAAGCTGAAAACTTTTACACGAGACACTGTTATATGTTAACCGAAAATCGTATATTATCGTTCAGAACCCAATATCTGGTTGAGGGCAGTAACTATTCATTCATCTATCCATCCTCATTTCAACAACGAAAATCATCATTCAAACTACCACACAACACATTTCCCTCAGCACTACATCAAGCTCAAAACTTCTACAGAGACACACTTATATGTTAACCGAAACTTCAACATGGACAACGTGTTTTTTTTCCTGGATACATCGACCATTGCAGGTTGGCTATAATAACAGTAGGAGGAAGGATGATGAGGAGAGAGAGAGACACACACACACACACGTACCCGGACAATCTCTTCGTATGTCTCATCATCAATCTCCACAGTGGTTACAACTTCCTCAACATCACCCAGAATCATATTCAAATGCTGATCGTATGCCTGCAAATTCAAAATTCCGACACAAGAAGCAGCTTGAAACCACGGCACCCATCAACACTTTCAGCAAATTCTTCCCACAAAATTTGACTATCCCTTCAAATCCTTATCACAAAGTTGTCGAAATCCAATATCCAACCAAAAACAACCCCCAGAGTTATCCAAAAAGGGTGGGTGGGTCCGAAATTGAAATGAACCTCTGAGAGCAGTAAAATTAGCTAAAACCCAGAAAACAACACACCGATATGACTCCAGGCAGAACAAAAGCAAACCCTAGATGAACAATGAATCGAAATCGGAAGAAATCGGGAGCCGAAAACGTACGTGAAGTTTACCACGGAGTTCACGGTCCGAGCGAAGCTTGACATAGATTCTCTCGTCGAGACTAAGCCGAATTAGATCCAACGGCTCCTTCACAGCGCTCTCTTCTTCGGCGGACATTGTCGCCTGTTCCGAACAGGGGTTTTGACAGTACGGACGAAAATCCGAAGTAAAAAAAATCTCAGTTCCATAAAATTTAAATAAAACCCCATAATTTCTATTTGGGCCTTCAAACTTTTCGGGCTTTACGCCATTTGAGGTACGGCCCAACAGGCCCAATATAAATGCGTCCAAGCTGATCTTATAAGCCTGTACATAAATTTTCATGATAAAATAAAATGAATTACTCAGTTTTATTTTAAACGATAATTACAGATTTAAAGAATATATCAATTTATTTAGAAAAAGATTTTTTTTATCTTAACCTTTTTCTGTTTTTATATTCTCAACTTGTTTGAAAATGTTCGTGTCAATCGTCATCGCTGTCATTCTTTTTTTTTTTCTTATAGGATTGGATGTGAACATTATTTACTTTTTTTGAGAAAAAAAATTGTATTATAATGTTATTCTTGTATTTCTATTTTTAGATTTTAACTTTTATATCTACATTTTAATTTTGCTTAGATTCCGTCTTTAATAACAAAAAAAATATTTTTTAAAAAATGTTTTTATTTAAGTTTTTTTTTCAAAACTTTTTTTTATTAAATTTAGATTCGATTTACAAATTTATACAAGTGATTTGATTTTGATATATGAGAATATGCTCTTGTGATATATGCCACTTGGTGATACAGATGCAACCGATTAAAATATAATGTAAATAATACATACATATATGTATATATATATATATATATATCCAATTTATTTATTAAAATAAAAAAAGGACACGACTCCAAGTTTCAACCAGCTTATTTTTCTAATCCAACTTGGCATTCAAATAAATGCTGATTTCATATTAAATAATGTAAGATTGTGTACCGAATTTTTTGGAGAGACTCTATATAAAATATTCCTAATAAAAGGACGTCATGGATAAATAAGTACCGGTAACATTTTTTTAAAAATTCTTATTTCATATTTTTTTTAATTTTAATCAGATCAATTGAAAATGGGGGAATTTGCCCAAAAAAAATTAAAACGGGGGGAACAATCAACGATATAAAATGTTTATAAAATTGAAATAAAATAATTAATAACTAAAGTGGTGGGTCCAGAATTTGTGTAATGCATTGGACCTTATTAGCCTTTTGTGTTCATCATTTGGCTTCGCCCAGAAACTCTCAAATCCCAGAAAAAAGGGGGATTCTTCGTTGAAATTTTTTTTCGCCATATTTATTTTCTCAGTTCACTTCCTCATCCGACAAGGTTCCATGATCTTGAATCCTATATTCTTAGCTTCTCTCGCTCGAAGGTCCGTTTATCGTCTGGGTTCTTGAGAAATTTCCTTGTCCGTAGAGACAAGTAGCTTCCGGCCTCAGCGTTTGGTGAATTTTAGGGTTTTCCTCTCTTTTTTTTCTCTCGGAATCTTACGCGATTTCGGAAATGGGTTTCGCTATTTGCGTCTGATTCATGTGTTCTAGCTCGTGAGCTTCATCTCTAGAACTGGAATCTGACTATGAATGCCTTGTCTTGTCTGATGTCGTGAAGTTTCCTCAGAAGTTCCGATGGTTTAGGCATTCATAAGAATCTGAAGAGTTATGGTAGTTTCTGAATCTGATTTCGTCGATTAGGGCAAAAGCTGTGTTCTTTTTAGGATTTGGAGTTGGTTTTCGTTCGATCTAGGTTCCCTTGAGAGTGAAGAAATGGAAGGAAACTTCTCTCAAGGAGGAATGGTTCCTGGTGGGCCTCCTTATGGTGGAGGCTTCGATTTGCAAGGTTCTATTAGGGTTCATCATCCGAACGCAATGCATCATCATCAACACAACCCTAATCCTCGACCCGACTCCTCTGCTCGCCCCTCCCTTCACGAGGGTCTTCCCTTTACGATGGTTGCAGGTCATTCGTGTGAGCAGAATGTGTCGACGAGTGAATATAATAAGAATGAAAGGGGGAAAGGTTCGATGAGCGATGAGGATGAACCAAGTTTCACTGAGGAAGGAGGTGGCGATGGGCATAACGAGGTGAACAAAGCCAAGAAGGGATCTCCATGGCAGCGAGTCAAGTGGACAGATAAGATGGTGAAGCTGTTGATAACTGCGGTGTCTTATATAGGCGAGGACTCGGCCGTGGATTGTGGTGGCTCCTCTAGAAGGAAATTTGCTGTTTTGCAGAAAAAGGGCAAGTGGAAATCAGTTTCCAAGGTCATGGCTGAGAGGAGTTATCATGTTTCTCCACAGCAATGTGAAGATAAATTCAATGACTTGAATAAACGGTATAAAAAGCTGAACGATATGCTCGGCAGAGGAACGTCTTGTCAGGTGGTTGAGAATCCTGCCCTCTTGGATGTGATTGATTATTTGAGCGAGAAAGAGAAGGACGACGTTAGGAAAATCCTGAGCTCGAAGCATCTCTTCTATGAAGAGATGTGCTCATACCACAACGGAAACAGATTGCATTTGCCTCATGACCCTTCATTGCAGCGCTCTCTACAGTTGGCGCTCAGAAGCCGAGATGATCATGACAATGATGATGCAAGGAAACACCACTGTGAAGATCATGATGACGAGGATCATGACATGGAAGCTGATGATCATGATGATTGCGAGGAGCATCATTCCATCCAAAGGGACGGTAGGGGAATCCATCATGCATCCCTAGGTGTTTCATTGAAGAGATTGAAACAAGCTCAGAACCATGAAGATGGAAGTGGATGTCCAAATCCTATGAATTCTCAGGAATGCAGTAAGGGTTCTTTACCAGAGAGTGGGAGAGCAGCTTGGCTACAGAAGCAGTGGATTGAATCTCGGTCTCTCCAGTTAGAAGAGCAGAAGCTTCAGATTCAAGCTGAGTTGCTGGAATTGGAGAAGCAACGGTTCAAGTGGCAGAGGTTTAGTAAGAAAAGGGACCAAGAGCTCGAGAAAATGAGGATGGAAAATCAGAGGATGAAACTAGAGAACGAAAGAATGGCATTGGAACTGAAGCGGAGGGAAATGGGTTCGGACTTATAACGAATGAGCTTCTGCTTATCTCCGAGGAATCAAGATTATTATGGCCAAAAGGAGTGGTGATACAATTGAGGTATCTAACTGTTTGCATGACTTTTGCCTTGAGCACTGTTTCATATTAGCTGAGGCCTGAAGCATTAATGGTAAAAGATTATTTCCATCTCCTGATGTTATTATTCTTGATTTTGCAAGTTGGCCACCGTTCTTTGTAGCAAACGGCTATATATTTTTCGATCTTCCCTCCTCTGTATAGTAGTTGATTTTATGGGCAGTGTGTGGATAGAAAAGCAAGTCTGTCTCATTGTATGAAGAAGGAGAAACAGGCTAGTCTTTGTTGTTCATGAGATTGAGAGATTCTGGTTCCTAGAGAGGTAAGCATATTTGCGATATGTAAGGCTTGTCTTGTTTTGTGGGTTCGAACCCATGTAATCTCAGACATGGTGGATCTGATTGGGAAGTGGTCTTATCCTTTTGGTGTGTTTCTGTATCACAGTTCACAGGTACACAATGGAGGGGTTACCCTCAAAATTTGCAGATTCCCATTGGATCTCTCTCTCTCTCTCTCTCTCTCTCTCTCTCTGTTGCAGCCATGGTGACTGAGGAATCTTTTGAATCTTGCATCTGTCTGTCCATTACAGAGTAAGAGCGAAAAAGGGTCTTCCTCTCTTGTATTCTTGGGCAATGCCACAGATATCCGATGTGGTTTGGGTGTGTCGATTTTAAACCCGAGTGATCGGTTATCGGATATCTGCATTGAGGCCCATAAACTCGGATAGTAATCGGTAAGATCACCTTCGGTCTCATCTTGATGTCCATCTTTACATTTCTATTTACATGTAGAAAATATTTTAGACTAATAATTAAAATCATATATATATAAATAAAAGGTATTGTAAAAATTAGTCTATGAATTTGAAGTTGTCTAAATATCTAGATTTTTTCACTATTTAATTAAAAAAAAGAATTAGTTCCCATAATTTTCTATTTACAATTTTGTTTCAGATGAGATATTGTGCGGGGGGTGCATATGATCATTAGAAGAATGTAACGTCATGGGGCCTTGCCATATTATCCACGTTGTTGTTGTTATTATTATTATTATTATTATTATTGTAAAGTATATAAAGGGGCAAGTAATTTTTCACGCATTTGGTCCAAAAACTAAAAACATATAAAACCAATACTAATTCCATTAATTTTATATAAGTTAATTTAATAGTTAAAATTAATCTCAAAACCACTAAATACATCTTAATATATAGATTAACCCCTCTAACAAACTGATCCTACTATATGAAGTGGATTAAATATTTAAATTGCATGTGAAGCTATAATGTTATTATATTGTTGCTTAAGTTTTAGATTTCCACTAATCAACTTTTACTTCACGCTAACCCCTTCTTTGGATTTCATAATCCAACACATTTTTTTTTGCTCTTTTTTATTTTGAATATTCAATATCAGTAATTTGTTTTAATATAAAATGTACTAATTTCAATGAAGATATTCTCTCTTGCTCTTTTGTATATATAAGAGGCTAATGGGTTGCTAAACGAAGTAAGAAAATATGAGAAAATAATAATTTTATTTGTATTCGATAATCTCTCTATAATCAGTGTTAGTATATATCTAATGGGTTAAAATAAAGAAAGTTAACGAATAAATAAACATATACGGCATAAAAGAAGACAAAATATGAAAATTTAAAGATAAATTTTTAAAAAAAAACTACAGAAAAAGAAATAATATATTTTTTTATGTGTTTTTGGGGAAAAATTAAAAATTGTGAGCTGGAGACAGACGAAATGAGAGGTGAAAACCACATGGAAGACAAAAGACAGTGAGATGAAAGTTGCTTAGATATAATTCACTTCCAACGTGTCCTCAACCCTTCCCACGTGATTTCCCTCCTTTTCCCTTTTCTACCCCTTCATTGTTTCTTATTTTTCTTCCCCACCCCCATATTTTACATATTATCAATCAAACCCCCTATGTTCCATCATCTTTTGATTATGAACTTGATTTTCAGATTTACATTAACACATACTGTGTAATAACCCTAATATTAAGCCCTCTTTTTAAATAATTTATAAAAAAAAATGTGATAAGGTTTGATGTATTTAGACAATTTATTGTACAATTAACATAGAGAATTATAAAACTGATATTGTATGCGATTTGTTTTTCTCTCCTAGATTCGTGGAGGTTGAAAATAGGGGTAATTTTATTTTGGATTATTATTGTTTTTTTATTAATCTCCGATCCCTATAAATAACTTTTGAAACATTTTTTTTATGAATCCCATGGCATGGACCACTCAACACATTTTACAATATGTGTTCTTTCAATTGTTTTTATTGCTTTTCTAATCTTAGGTTATTTTATCTAATCATGTTTAGGCTTCCGTGCATATTAATTAATATTCGGCAGCAGAATTTAATTTTTGTTCTGTTTGGTGATTTTGTCAACCCCGTATTTTCCCTATTCACATTATAAGGTCAATTCGTTTAACTACTTATAGTGTAAAAAGCTAATATTTTAAAAATATAAAACTTTTATAGACTCAATCATATAAATTTCAGAAGATCTTATTTGAAATTATATCCAAAATGATAGACTTATCCATTTTCTAAAAATAAATCAAAATAGACAAGTTTATTTTTAACTTGTCATTATAATTCATAAAAAAATATAGATATAAAAATAAATTAAATCAACAGATAAAGATATAAAATGTAAGATTTAAAAGGCTTGATCGGCTATCTTTTCTTCAATGCACTAACGAAAGAAACAATAAAAATATTAATAAAGTTTAATATTTCACCAGAAATCAATTTATTGTGTTGGTAACATTTATAACAGTCCATAATCATATTCTCTATAACTACGATACAAACGTAATAATTATAGATATATAGCTAAAACGTGAAAATGAAAAGAAAAAAAAAACAAAGAAAAATAAATATGAGAGAAGGCAAGTTGTGCCAGTGAAGCAAATTCACATGAATACAAAATCCCTCGTAATTAATATAGATCTCATGCTCTGCAAAATTAACTAAAAATCCATGCATGCGTACATTATATCCGTCTCCACATGCATCATTTATATATAGATGCATATACGTACGTATGTATATATATACATACATACATACATACACATTTGTATAAATATATGTGTGTATACATGTGTCAATTTTATTATAACATGTATCTGTTTATGAGAAGTGTTATGTACTCCTGAGCAATTTTTGCATCTGCAAAATTACAATATATTTATATTATTTTAATTTATGTTAATACCGTACGTTATAAACTAATATTCCTGCAATTTTCTGTCAAACTTTTAATTTACCGTTAGGAAATTGACCAAACATCTCTAGGTACCGTATAGCCTATGCGTAGATACGCATATCTTTTATATATATACACACATATATATATATATATAGAATTTTGTGACTTTCCGTGCAGAAGCAGTCGTGCGACTAATGATGTAAAGTTGGTCGTAAAAATGGCTGCAAATTGGAAAGTAAAAACAAAATTAAATAATATAAATATAAACTGTTTGGGTGAAAAACGTTAAAACTCTCTAATTTTAATAAAATAAAAGTTATAAAGATAAGTAAAGGGATAAAAGATAAAACTTTATTTTTATTTTGCTAATAAATGTGTATATTTATTTGGGTTGGACCCGCAATCTCCCATATAGTATATGGTTCCAATCCACTTGCCTCTTTTTTCCCCCCTGTTTCTTCTTTATTTTCCACTTAAAATTAATTTCCCTTTTGACCCCATCAATAATTGTGTTACTGAAATTTATGGCTCTTATTTTTTACTCCCTCCGTTTCAAATTAATGGTAGTTTTAGGATTTTTCACATTTTTTAAGAAAATAGAGAAAAAGACACATATAACCTTATTTAATAATAAAAATAATGTTATCACTAATAATTTATTGGAATTTGGGAGGGATAAAATTGGAAACTATTGTAAAAAACTATCTTGGAAATGTAGAATGACAAATATTTTGAAACATGAAAAATAAACTAAAACTACAAATATTTTGAAACGGAGGGAGTAATATATAATGTAAAAATTGTCGTTGAAATATCTGCATTTTATAATTAATATTTTAGTAAGAGTTACAATTTAATTATGCAAAGAAAATATATTAACTAGGCGATTTTACAAAGAAACGACAGATCATTTAGTCACTATATATATAAAATCATTATGAACATACGATGAATTTTTTCCCTAGTTTTCAAAACAAAGAGCGCAATAAAATCGACATGATGTTGGAATAGTTTTGATTTCATACCATTTGGACCAACGGTACAAATTCTTTTATTTTGGAAATGATAATATAAGAACGGTTAATATTATTTGTCTATGGAATATTAGAATTTTATCATATTATCATTTCACTTAAACTTGTTGATGTTTCCTCCATTCCAAAAGACGCCCTTTATTTTGCCTTCAAAATTCTCTTTCTGAATTTTTATTTATTTATTAAAATTCATTATCTATCATTTCGTATATTTTTAATTATATATATATATATATAACTTAGATTATTTATACAATAAGTACATAAATATTCATGATTCGAGAACATAAGATTCTGGCTACACTCAAATCAATATTTTCGGTGATATGGTTGGCATATGTTCACACAATCGAAATTTCAGATTTTATTACGATTTATAGATAATAAAATTTTTTAATCTCTGAAACAATGTCGTTATCGATTCCGAAGTGCACCTACGAAAATGACCCTCTGTTTTTTTTTATTTAAAATGAAAATGGAAGAGAAATTGTAACGTTAAGGGTGGACCGACCCATGCCATACTCGAATGGCTATTTATACGATTTCGTGTGGGAAGATATTCAATTTGTTGTGATAGACGAAGAGATACCACATGCAATGGTCCCTTACAAATTCCCCGCCCTTGACAAATACATTCTCGTGTAAGAAATTAGATATATCCAATCTACCGCTGTAAATAAAATATTAATTAAGGGGGTGGGCTAATTATGTATATGACAACGTGAAATGGGCACACACCATTTACTTGAATCCAGAAAATGACCCACGTCTAACTCACTTCCCTTCATCATACCGCCCTCTGAATTATCTTTTCATGTTTATTTTCACCCTTCTAAAATACAAATATTATTTTGCCTTATTTTTTTTAATCTAGTAACCAATTTTAATTAATAAATAAAATTTTCATTATACAAATATAATAGCATAACTTGTTAAGCTGTCGGCTTATAAGTTATAATCATCTCTTTTATTTCTTCAGTAAGTTTGTCATAATTATCTTTGTTACCAACAAATATTTTGCTGGTTTTGATTCCTAACTCATTTATTATTATTATTATTATTATTTACCTAAAACTAATCTCCAGTTTTTAAAATGCTAGATTAACAGTCCCATTTTTTTCTTCTGACCAAAGAGTTTTCCAAATTTAAAATTCATTCACAGCTAAAAACATAAATCAGTTTTATACTATATAAAAAAATATATGTGAGATGTTATTTCATAATTATTTTCAAATCTTATGAACACGTTTATTTTGAGTTAACTATCCAAATATCAAAATTAACAAGCGTATCTCATCAAGTCCTTAATTTATAAGTTATATTTTGAAATAATAATAATAACAATAAACTGAAACGGGGGACAAACCAAGATCAGTAATCAGGGTTTTGGTATCTAATAAAATAAAATAATAACAATAAAATGATAATTAAATGTGGGAACAAAGAAAAAGATTAACCCAAAACCATCAATGATTAAAGGGTCAATTGGATCCACGTTAGGGTTAATTTAGTAATTTCAAAATACGTAGCCAATCTCACTGTAAATCCAGAAATTATTACGCTCCAAGAAGCAAAGTGGATTTTTCAATTCATTAATTTTTGTTATTTGAACTTCCGAATTGTATTTATTAAAGAATTATATGATATTTTGGTTTATTTCAAATAATTTGTTAATTATATTTGAAGTTGGTTTTATTTAATAAAATACTCATTAAAAATATATATTTTTTTAAAAAAATTAACAATTCAGATTTGATTAATTCAATTTAAAAACAATTATAGCCAATCTAGTTAGTATATATAATGAAATAACAGCTTTTATTATACCAAAATAAAGAAATAACAGCCTTTAATATTAAACATAAATATATAATAATATTTTATTTATCAAAAACGAATTTTTGATACCGAAACCAAACAAGAGGCCAAAATAAATTATGTAAAAATCAATCTTGATGGATTTAAAAATATTTAAAAAAAAAAGAAAAGAAAAAGAAAAAGATGGGGAAGAAAGGCCGGCTTTTAACTCAATTTAGCTGTACAGACAAAAACCAACTAATAATCACCACCGTCTTTATGTGCAGCTGTCGATAAATTCCCTCTAAATTATTATATTTATTTTATTATTTTGATAATAATATTATTATTTTCACTTCGCTTTATAAAAATATATATCTTTTTGTGCCACTTTTCATCATTACTCATAAAACCCATGATGGTCTCTCACTCTCTGTTAACAACATTCACACACTTACCATTCCCTCTTTTTTTTTTTTCTTTCATAAATCATTGATGTAAAATAATACTCGTTTATATTCTTTTATTGATGCATATGTATATATAATAAATTAGCATATCATTAGAAAAAAAAATATGGATCATATGACAAGCGTTGGTTGGTGATTACTTTGACGACGGGTCGGTTGCATTATAATTAATTTATCGACTTTATCATCAACTTTTATCAACATTAATATAATAGATCCATTAATGAAAATTACTTTTTAATATAGTTATAACATATTTATTAAATACATTCCATAGAAAATTTATAATAGGATGAGTATGTATGATCGTTTTTATTGATAAATAAGCTATATATTGTTATATATATACAATGATGGTTTATAAACTACAAATTGAATTTTAAGATTTGACCATGTATATAAATGTGTACAGAAATCAAATAATTACTTACAAGTCGGAATAACAAGGAGAAAGAGAAAATGATGGAGATTCCGTTTTGGCTCAAACAAAGAAAAAGCAGAAAAAATGGATAAATTATATATTAAAAAAGGAAATAAAGGGAAAATATAAAATAAAATATAAATATTGTAAGAATGGCTCCTTGAGATTGACAAGCAGATCCATCATCAGAAAATAAAAAATTTTAAAAATTTTAAAAATAAAAAAATCACTATTTTTTTGTATTTACAAACACAACTCCATAAAACCCTGCGTTTCAGATTTCACCCTCTCCTGTTTCCCACTCTTCTTCCTCCTGTAATCTCCCTCTCTCTCTCTCTCTCTCTCTCTCTCTCTCTCTTCCATTTTTTTTAATTTCGTTCCCTTTCTGTAACTTCCTCCATCAAAGAGAGGAAAAAAAAACAAAAACAAAGAGATAATTAAATAAATAAATAACCCTAATAATGATGCAGCTTGGTGGTACTACCACCACCGCAGCCGCGACGCCACAAACCAGTGACGCGGCGGCGCCCGAGACTGCGCCCGCGGCTGACGCTGAGGCTGTGGGGCCTTTGGAAGCGTCGGAGGAGATGAGCGACCGCGGTTTCGGAGGGAATCGGTGGCCGCGTCAGGAAACGCTAGCGTTATTGAAAATACGATCTGACATGGATACCGCGTTCCGAGACGCCAGCGTCAAAGGTCCTTTATGGGATGAGGTTTCCAGGTGCGTTTCCTCTTCGCTAATTCTTCCCTTCTCCTGGTAATTTTTCCTATTTAATTCATTTTAAAAAAAAGTTCTTGTCGGTGAATTCGATGGCTGATCTATCGAATTTCGCTCTTTGAATTTGAGATCTGATTTTGAATCTGCAGTTCGGACAGACTTCGATGTCTGATTTGTTTGTTTGTTTTTTTAATTTTGCGTATAATTCGGAGATTTAGTGTAACAAGTTGTAATAAGTTAGGTCATGTAATAATCATGTGGGGTTTAAGTGAGTATTGCAAATTCATGCTTATTGTTCACATATATTTCATGGATGGAATTATGGATTATACACAATATTCTGAATATAGATCACGTTCACGGGTTCATCTTCTTCTTCCCTTTTTTTTTTCCTGAAATTTTCTGTTTGGTTCTCAGGAAAATGTCAGAGCTTGGATACAGCAGAAGCTCTAAGAAATGCAAAGAAAAATTCGAGAACGTATTCAAATACCACAAACGTACCAAAGAAGGCCGTACGGGGAAATCCGAAGGCAAAACCTATCGTTTTTTTGACCAATTAGAAGCTCTCGAGAATCAATCCTCGTCCATGGTCCACCACCATCAACCCCAAACGCAAACGCAGATGCCGCCGCGACACCATCAACACAACAACAACAACAACTCGATCGTATTCTCGGCAACGCTGACGCAACCGGCGGCTGCAAACGCGGAAAATCCTCCACCCGGCGTCGCGTTAACGACTGTTACATCGGCAATGCCACTTCCCAACACTGCCGTCGCGTTTACTCAGCCGCCAGTGCCTACGTCTTTGAACCCGACGTTCCATGGCGGTTCCGGTGATTTTCTGTCGGATTCGACGTATTCGTCATCGTCCACCTCGACATCTTCGGACGTGGAGATTGGCGGAGGTACGAGGAAGAAGAGGAAGAGGAAATGGAAGGATTTCTTCGAGAGGCTTATGAAACAGGTCGTAGAGAAGCAAGAGGAGCTTCAAAGACGGTTCTTGGAAGCCGTGGAAAAGCGCGAGCGCGAAAGGATGGTTAGGGAAGAAGCTTGGAGAATGCAGGAGATGGCGAGAATCAATCGCGAACGCGAGATTCTTGCTCAAGAACGATCCATGGCCGCGGCCAAAGACGCAGCTGTCATGAAATTCCTGCAGAAGCTATCAGAAAACACTAACGTAAGCCAGTCCATACAGTTACCGCCACAACCACAACCACAACAGCCACCGCCGCAAACGCAAACGCAGACGCCGCAGCCTCAACCACAGCCGCAAACGCAGCTAGCGGTGACCGCAAGGGCGATAGACATGACGAAAACGGACAATGGGGATCAGAATTTCACGCCGGCGAGCTCGTCGAGGTGGCCGAAGGTGGAGATCGAAGCACTGATCAAGCTGAGAACGAATCTTGACTCGAAATATCAAGAGAACGGACCAAAGGGTCCACTGTGGGAAGAAATCTCAGCCGGAATGCGAAGGCTAGGGTTCAACAGGAGCTCGAAGAGATGCAAGGAGAAGTGGGAGAACATAAACAAGTATTTCAAGAAAGTGAAGGAGAGCAACAAGAAACGGCCCGAGGATTCAAAGACTTGCCCTTATTTTCACCAGCTCGACGCGTTGTACAGAGAGAGGAACAAGTTCAACTTTGCAGATTACAACGTGGCCTCGACATCGTCCACGTCCACGTCCACAGGGCAGATGAAGGCCGAGAACGCTGTCCCGCTAATGGTTCAGCCCGAGCAGCAATGGCCTCCCGCCCCGCAAACGCAAACACATACGGAGGATGTGGAACAAGGTGAGAACTCTCGAAGGAACCGAGATGAAGACGAGGAGGACAGGGGAGGAGAATTCGAAGGCGAGGAGGAGGAGGACGACGAGGATGACGACGACGACGGAGATGGAGGTGAGTTTGAGATTGTGCCAAATAATAATAACAAAGGAAATGTCGATTAGGACAAGTGGGTGAGAGGACACACATGTTGTCGAAAGGTGACATTGTGTTAAGGTTCGGGTAAGAAAATTTTAACCCGCACCGTGAAAAAAAAAATAAAAAAATAAAAAACTTTTTCGAAGTTTTGATATACAATACATTGGAGGGGGTGGTTCTTTGGGGTTTTTTTTCAGCTTTTTTTGTTTAATTTTAAGTTATACTCTAGGTGGAAGTAAAACGTTTGATAAATTCTAGTTTTTTTTTTGTAATTTAATTATTTTTTTCAAAATGAATAAAATATATTGAGGGGGGGACAAGGTGGGGTTTCCTTAGAAATAAAAAGAATAATGAAGAGATAGGCGTTGTAAGTTTTTCGTTTTTTTTTAAAAAAAAAAAAATTCGAGGGTCCAATGTTGGCGACGGTGTAAATTTGAATAATTTGTTATTGTTTCACTTTAATGTTATTCTCTATTATTAACTGTATTCAATATATTTGTATAGATAATATTTCGTTGGAGTTATGTAAGGTAGGTGAGTTACTGCGTCATCCATTTAGTAACAGTTTCCTCGGTAAGATAAATAACAATAATAATTTTATTTTAAAATAAATTATAAATATAAAAATTATTATTTAAAGAGAAAAAAAAAAACAGAGGAAGATGCCAACTTCACATGCACACAGTGATGAGAGCGTCGGTTGGGGTCCACGTGGGAGGAATCTTTTCCAAGTCTTGGAGTTCTCTCTTTGTTGCCCTAACTTCGTCTCTTCCACTTCTGTCGAGGGGCGTTTTCGTCAATTCCAAGCATCTCCTTCGATCTATCGCACAATTTCGAGTCATAAATGCTCTAGGCGTGGGTGTTGTTGAGATTTTGGTTTGGTTATTTTTGGATTTGGTTTTTTGATTTTGGTTTAAATTCATTTTGAATATAAATATATTATATTCGATTTGTATTAGTTTGATTTCATATATATATATATATATATATATAATGTCTTTAAGGGATCGATTCACTTGTATTTATCCATACGTTTTAGTTCTCTAGTTATATACCCTTACCGTCACCAAGTTTCTCATCTTACGACATGGGTCTAATTGGTTTTATAATTCATAATATGTTAATTATTCGGATCGGATCTAAAAATATTTATAAAAAGATATACATATGAGAAAACTGAATCACTATATTGATTCACAATGTTCAATAAATGTTTGACTGCTATATATAAGATAAGCCTTATATGTACGTAGTATGGCTTGTTACATTATTTTGTGTTTTTTTAATATAAAAAAGAAAACTGAAAAACACAGTTTGATGATGTATACGTTGTATAATGTCGGTTTATGGTTTTATACGCATTTCTTACTAAAACAAAATGCTATGGTAAATTAGTTGGGTCCGTAACTTGAAATTAACATGTTATAAATTATATAGCGTTATTCTTGCACAAGCACCTAAGAATTAAAAGAAATATCATATACCCCCCCAACGATTGTATGTCAAGTCACGTATATACAATATACATATATATATATATGTAATATGTGTGTATATATATATATATGTGTGTGTGTATGTATCTTACTCTTACACAGAATATTAAGCTATGTGTTTAAGACAAAAGAAGGTGCGAAAGAAGAAGATTAATAGAGATCCGACAATTATGGTCTCGATCTGTTCCTCATATGTATGGTTCGAGAATAAAACCTTATTATGTTTAATAAATGGCCTTCTAATCTTATCTATTTTTTATATATATAAGATTAATGTTTAAATCTTAGATCTCGCTAATCCCACGGGTGTATAAAGACTGCATGACAGTTGTATTATTCAATAAGAATATATTGATACATACATATGCATATATATATATATATATTCAGTTAACGAATAGTGTACCCGGGAATGTATATACAATACAAGTGCGTGTAGTAATACACACATTATACGAAGAAATAAAAACCCATCACTCAATATACATTGTCTTTCTAAATACGTCTAGGTACGAGGCATCTGGCTTTATATCTCCCCGCATGCCCACCACATACAATCACTCGTGATTCGAATTCTTGATAATCTTATAAACAAATGTAATAACGGAGGGTTGTACGTAATAATTGATTACCGATTCCCGAATCATAAGGGGCACTCGTACAAAATAACGGAGATTAAAAAAGGGCGATTAATTGTTTGGGTGATGATGATGATTGTGCTTAATTAACCTTTGACTTGAGCTAAGTATCACCCGCTTCCTTGCCGATTTGGAGGAAAGGAACTCCCATTATAATATTTGTTTCTATGGATTACAATATTTGTGGCCCCACATTTAGGTGTATGTTATTATTGGCTCTTTGGTGTGTGTACATATATATATATGTGTGTGTGTGTGTGTGTGTGTGTGTGTGAAAGTGTCATCTCATGATAATATATGTATTTGAAATGAGACATACATATATTAAACGCATTTGAAATATGGAGTTTAATCAATGATTAAAGAAATAATCAACATTTAGACTTTAATTAAGACTATAAGAAAATGATGGGGACGAAAATATCAAATATTTAATCGTTTTTGTATCGATCATGAGTTATGGCTAGAACCGGATACCGGTAAAAGTATCTTTTGCTCATGAATGTGGAATTGACGGTCATTATATTTCTCGCTAGATCGAAAACGATAGATGGAAAAGTCGGTCCATATATTTATCTTTACGTTTATTAGATGCCATGATATACAAAATTAAGCAATTACATATCGTGTAATATTTGTCATTTTATAACGAGTGCTTGGTCCAAATTCCATATCAAGTCATTATTTACCCCATTTATTCAATGGTCCTTGGCCTATCAATTCGTTCTTTCAGTTACATATTTATTATTAAAAGGTATACGAACAAACAATATTAGAATATACAGTGAGTTTCGGTCGTTATGGTTTATACGGATTTTGTTTCGATTTTATCATATTGTTTATATAGGTTTGATTTGCATCATTTCCATCTTATGGAGTTGTATTAAATATTAAATTACTTTGGACCGATTTTGGTTTGGCTTCGTTTGAATTAGAATATATCATATTAATTCGTTAAAATAATTTTAAAAATAAACTAAAAAGATTCAAAATAAAAACTAACTTCCGACCCTAAAAGTTAAAACCAGCCATACTTAGAATTTTTGGTCTCATTAATTTCTGAGATAGAATTTGATAACAATAAGTAAAAATAATATTCTCCAATCATTGTCCACTCTTTTTACATTCCCATTTCCTTTTATAAAGACTTAAATATTCCTTATTTTCCATATTTCATTCAAGAATTTTTCTCCTTTGAAATTATTTTTTTAAAAGATTTCTTTAAGGGTAGAAAATACAACTTGAAAAATCCATAGCCTTAGTGGACATGAAAAAGGAAATGAGAAGGGAAAAGAATGGTGGCCATTTACAGAAGGGAATCTTCTTCTTTTTCTTTTTCCATAATTGTTTAGAATTTGCATTTCGCGTAATGCTTTTAATTTTAATTTATTCCTCTTTCTATCTCTCCTCCTTTTCTTTATGTGGTCTCGGATAACGACGACGGTCCAAAGTTAACATTTAATTTGTAATCGCTAGTGTATAAAATATTTGCGAAATGCATATTGTAATTTATAGATAAATAAACCTGAATATTTTGTATAAACCAATGGTCTCGACATGAATATTTTTCGTTTGGTGATAATTGATATGTGGATAACTTTTTTTGCTTCCCTGCACTTACCGGAAATATCTAATGTAATCAAATATTTTTTTTTATGTGAGCTCTGTTAAATATTTGAATACTATTATGAAATAATGCATACATATAATGTGTTAAAAAACATGTTTAATTTTTAAAAATAATAATATTTTTTTTATTAAACCTTAAATTTTAGTCTAATTTACTAAATTTATTTTTAATTTATTAGTCTATAATTTTAAATATATATTCCATGTCGAAATTTAACTTCTACCATATCTTGAATTCAAAATTTTTTAATATGGTCACTACTTAAATAATTGGAGATAGAACAATCTGGGGTTGCGTTTATCAATGTATAATCTATTTTTTTAATCTAATTAATGATGTAAAAAGGTTAAAGAAATCAAGAATTTTACATGGAGTATTTTTATGTAGGGGTGGACGTTTCGTTAAGATTTTTCAGAATCGAATCTACCAAGCCAAAAAATGCAGTATTTTTTTTTTATATTTGAACTGTCCAAAATTCTCGAATAGTATTATTTTTAGAAAACCTAAAAATTGTTATATAAATTCATTATGCGAAAACATTATTGTTAATGTCCATGGGAGAGCATGTTCTGTTCAACACCATCTCGAACCCACCTGTCTCATTGTCTTCGTCTTCTTCTTCTTCACTGTCTGTTTCTTCCATTCGAATTCGGTCCCCTTCGTTTCCCATCTCTTGCTTCTCGGACTCATCAAAGGTTACTTGAGACTGTTGCTGTGTAGCCACCGTTAGGGTTTTTTGCTTCTCGGACTCATCGCAGGTTACTTGGAGAGGAAGCATCTGTTGTTGTGTAGCCGCCATTAGAGGCAATCCCACAGTTTTGTTCTTCTCTTTGTATATGGCGTCGAGTTGGTGAAAATAAGGGCAAGTTTTGGAACTCAAAGGGCGTTTCTTGCTGCTCTCTCTGACTTTCTTGAAGTACTTGTTGATGTTTTCCCATTTCTCTTTGCATCTTTTGGCACTGCGATTGTATCCGATTTTTCGCATCCCGGCCGAGATTTCCCCCCATAGCGAACGACCCTTTGTTCCATTGTCTTGATAGTTAAAGCCGATATCTGCTCTTAGCCTTATCAAGGCTTCAATCTCGGCTTTTGGCCATCTAGAAGAACTCTGAGACAACTTATAGTTTGAATCTCCATTGCTCATCTTGCTTGTATCTTCCACCGTCCCTTTCTCGTGCTTTTGGTCATTTAGACAAGCAAATGGTAGTTTTTGTTGCTGATGCTGTTGTTCGGATACCTTCTGTAAGAAGGAAATAAAGGCGGCGTCTTTAACTGCAGAAGAAGATCTCTCGTGGAGCAATATCTCGTATTCTCTATTGATTCTTGCCGTTTCTTGGACCCTCCACTCTTCCTCTTTGGCAAGCCTCTCTTCCTCGCGCTTATCCAACGTTTCGAAGAACCTCTTCTGCATCTCGTCTTGCTTTTCCATCAAATCCTTTGCCAACTTCTTGAACGATCCCTTCCAATATTTCCTCCTCTTCCTGGACCCCTTCCCCTTTTCCTCCTCTTCCTCTTCAGATGCAGTGGACGAAGACATCGAGCTCGAGAAGATGTTCAACGACGAAACAATTGTCGTGAAGTTATTAGAATCCGCTTTATAACCGGCACCAAGAACTGTTTCAGTACTGTGATTCATAACAAAAGGTGTAATAGACTGTTTCTTGACGAAGAAGGTAGGGTTTGTAGTGTTTGACGGGTCATTTCTCAACGGGGAAGCATTTGTACCACTTGACGGGTTGCTCCTACTGATCCATGGTACTAAGGAAGCAATCTTGGGCGCAGATAATTTTTCGGGTCGAGATTCGGGTTCGGGAGGATATGAACGGAGAGTCTCGAAAGCTTCCAATTCGTCGAAAAACCGGTATGTTTTGCCTTCCGGTTTACCAGACCGGTTTTCTTTGGTACGCTTGTGGTACTTGTACACGTTCTCAAATTTCTCCTTGCATTTCTTTGCACTTCTTCTGTAACCAAATTCCGCCATTTTCCTGATCATTTCATCAAGAACCCTCAAGGCAAACACATGCATGTAACTATGTGTATGTGTGCATATTTATGTTTGTATGTACATGTATTTATGTATGTATGAGTTTTTAGATATTTATGTGAACGGACAAGTTGTTAGACAGATGCATTCTTTATCACATGTGTACAAGAAGCATCAATTGCCAGAGAGACAAACATCACAAGGAATAGTTACAACTGTTTGAGAAAAACAAATTATTCGTCATATAACATATTAAAGAAGGATATATATATATATATATATACATATATATGTATATATAAACACACTCATAAATATATATGTATATATGTCAAGAACGTGCATACATATATATATATATATATGGTAATTTATAATTAACTAGGCAATAATTGATTCTTGAAAAAAAGACGAAATCTGTTTAACCTCCAAGAAAAAAGAACCGCATCGAGAATACGAAACAGGATACATACATAAATACGCGTATACACCTCTATATATATATATATATATATATGCGGGTATGCGATTGTGTGTGTATATATAGAGCTTCGAGTACCTGGAGATTTGCTCCCATAAGGGCGCTTTAAGAGAAGAGTGACGAAATGATGAGTCCATCTCTGACCGTATCCTCAAGAGGGACAAAGTCTCCGGTCGAGGCCACCTTTTTCCTCCACCGCCTCCGGTGACTATCTCGCCGGAATCCTCCAGCTTTACATCCTTCCCCTCCTCTCCGGCGGAGGCTGATGCGGCGGAGCTCTCTAGCGCTTCGCCTGAATCCCCCAACATTTATATATATATATATATATGTGTGTGTGTGTGTGTGTGTGTGTGTGTATGAGGAGTCTGATGATTAGGAGAGTTTGAATCAACCGTTTTGAAAAGAAAAAAAAAAGAGTCTGATAATTGATAGGAGAAATTTGTAGAAGACAAAGAGATGAGGTTGAAATTTTGCCTTTCTTAATTTTCTCTGTGATTTTATCTTTGGGGATATTTAATATGATGGGACGGTCGATTTATCTATATATCTTCTATACATATATGATATATGCGTATTGTATATACATGTATATGTATATGTGTCTTTTATTGAAGAAAAAAGAAAATAGGAATGGGTCTTAAAAATGTGTTTTTTTGCTCCCCTAGGTTTTGCTTTTAAATGTGGGAATATTCACATGGCTTATAAATAAGAAATATTTCTGAAAAAATAATTGTTGTGACACTTTCATATATAATCAATAAAACGAAATATAATAGCCCCAAAATTATGTTATTTTTTTGGATACCAGTAAGTCTTATCTACTAGTATTTTCTCACAATTATGTATTTTATTTGTGCTAAAAAGAATCTTAATATTATAATAATAATAATAATAATAATAATAATAATAATAATAATAATAATAATAATAATAATAATATCTGAGAGCTGCAGGAGTAGTCTGAGAATAATATTAGATTAAAATTAAAATGATTAATATAATATGTAGGCATTCAATAAAAAAATTGTTAAAAAGGGGGAAAATTCAAATATGATCAGCAAGAGCAGATAATACTCGGAGGGCCATGTGGGGTCCAACTTTGTTTTAAAAAAAAATTGGAGTCGGATTTAAACTCTAAAATGAATTTAATTAATAAAAATAACGTGTTTGTTTTACCTTTTTAGCCCTAACGTGAAGGTGACCTCTCTAATCATGCAAAAATCTAATCACTTATCACACGTCTAATCTTTTTAAACCCTAACCACAGTATTTGTTTCCTCAATTGCCCTAATCGCGTGATTAGTGATTAGGGTTTTAAAAAAGGCTAATAGTGTGTTTGAATTATGTATATTTGAATTAAGAAATGATCGAAAATTAAAATCTTTAAGAAAAAAATTTAAGCTCACACACACACACACACATATATATATATATAGTGGATATTAATTAATATGTTAGAACTTTGATATAATAACACGGAATTACGAAATTAAACTACGTGAGGAGTTATATTAATTAGATATATATAGGCCAAAGTTATATTTGTTATTAGTCGGATATCAAACATTTATGAGATAAAGCTAGTAGTGACATAATCGGGTTAGCCTGTGACCCACCTTATTAAATGAAAATTTGAAAAATTCGGTTGACTAATATTTCTTTATTTTTACCTATATATATCCTCGCGAACCGAATAATTAAATTCGATTTTAATTTATTCGAAATCTCAAACGGTGGTTTCTCAACATATCATATCAATGAAGATTAACGTGTCTATGTCTCTCTCTATATAATTTCCATATCCGCGCTATAAAAAAATATGTTTCCAGTTTACGGATCAATCAAATCTATTAATCTACGAAAAAACATGAAATATATATATATATAAAAGAATCGGCTTCAAAATCCTATGTATAATATATAGGCATCAGAATCGTTAAAAAAATAATCTAAGCCGAATTTATATTCGTTTTTCAATCTAGTAAAATATTTTGTGAAATTGATTAAATAAATTTGAAACCGAACATGCTTAAAAAAGTAAATATTTTTATATATAAAAAAAGAAACCCATGTTGTATTTACATTTGAATTATTTGTGAATATTATGGTTAAGCAAGTGGGTTAATCAAATTATGATCGTGTAGACAAATCCGTATAGATAAATTAAAATCACATTTTAGTAATGTCTGTGTAAAATCACGTTTTAGTTATCAAAATTTTCTGATTGCACGAGAGATATACAATTCTTTTTTTTTTCTAATCATGCAATTAACGTGTTTTTAGGGTTTTTTTTGTTGAAAATAATTAGGAAAATACTTTTTTAAAAAATGAAAATTAGGAAATACTTTGTATAAGAAGATATGCAATCACATAACTGACAAAATATATGACAAAAAAAATGCACATCTGAATGATACATTGGTACTCAACCCACATTGGTAACACGGTCCAAAAATGGGATGGCATGTCCGTACATAGCCCAAATTGTTGGCTCTCTCTCCTTTTTATTTATATTTAGTATTGTTTTTTTTTTGTTGTTGAATTTATATTTAGTATTGTTATTGCATATTTGCATCTTTAAGGAGAATTAATTTTATATTTTTATAGTCAAACCTCATTTCCCACTTCCCACGTCAAAAAATCGTTATGATCCTTCATTATCACTTGGGTCGTTGTCTATATAAATTGAAATATATAAATGGAATGCTTGAAATATTTCAAACTTAATAATTGTTGGAAATAACGTCAACATTTTGAATTTCGGTATTGAGATGAAGAATTAAACTGCTTGCAATCTTAACCCTCTAATTCATTCTTATTGCCGATTTATGAATGTAAATGGTCGATATTCAAAAACGCAAAATACCCCTTTTTCCACATTTGATTTGATTAATATTATTCATATTTAAATTTCAAAGAAATCGAATTTAGTTTTAGTTTAGAGTCGGGTTTTATCGGTGTAAAAGAATCACTAATGATTTTTTTCCTCTAAAATCTGATTTTTGTATGAGTTGAGTTAATATTGTTTAGGGTCGAATTAATCCGGATTTCGTACAAGTCCAAGTGAATAAAGATCGAAAAAAATTAAGAATCCGACCGTTTGGAATTTTTATTTTCACTAACAATATCTTCAAATATCACGATTTGATTATGGATCTTAATTTCATTTCTATTTCTTTTTTGGGTGAATCTCATTTCCATTTCTTGCAATCCAAATTTCATTCACATGGTGATGAAAAGAGCATTTCTAGCTTAGGTTTAGGCCCAAATGCATAAATCGTGTGGTCTCATTGGTACAATATTTATAGTTGAAGCCCAATATTGATCAACACGACGGAAAAAAATCAAATTGTACATAAATTGAATTATTTATTTTATTAGTTTCTTTCTTCATAAAAGCAAAATTATTTTGATGAAAGAGAAATAAAAATTGCATTTGATAACTTCATGTATTTCGATCCGTAAATGCGTGACATATTTATATATATGGATGCATGTGTGTACGTAATATACTCAAGGAACGAAAATCATAACAATTTAAAGCTTTTTATAACGTAAATACTCCACCAAAAAAATATTTTAATTCATTGCCGAATACACTAGAAAGGTAAAAAAAAATCATTTTGAGGTTATATTTCTAAGTAACGTGCTGATTATTTTATGGTTTGGCCGTATCTATATAACGATATTGCAATATTTGAAACAATTATTTTTATTTTTTTATCATTTCAAAGATACGAATGACATGGTGTGATGATGAAACTTAGATACGCCTATCTACAATAATATGAATTTACAAAATAACAATAAAAAAAATTAACTAAGCAGGGCCCTTTATTTTGTGGGTAAACGGTCACTTAAATTTTACATTATAATATAGTATATGGTTTATTGTAACACCTAATATTCTTCAGTTTCGTACTCTAATTTTTTTTTAAAATTTTTGTAACTCCTAATTATTATTTTTGGATATTCAATAAAATCACCTTACATGTTATATTTCAATTGATATTCAATTATCATGTGAAGATCACGTGAATTTCAAATGAATACAACAATATTTATTTTCAATGTTCATGATGATAATAATAAGAGAAATCGATTGTATTATTAAAAATTATATATTTATTTTTATTAACAGAAGTGTTTTTTTTCGTTTTAGTTATGGTATACGAAATTAAAAAAAAAATCATTGATTCTTTTTTTCCCCCACCAAAAATCATGGTTTCTTACATCATTGACTTTATTCATGAAGTTTAATATTTCAATAAATAGTGACATCATACTTTTGTAAGCAAAGTGAATGACATTTTTTTTTATAATAAAAAGGCTATAGAGGTTGGGTGGTGGGTTAGTGGACATTTCCGGAATTATTATGTTATAATAGGAGCAATATGCATGTGGAAACCAACCATAGAATTATGCTGTAATCATTAAAGTATAATTTTTTTTTTTACAATTTGATTATTCCATATTACGTTCGTCCGTGTGTGCGTGTATAATTTAAATTAGTTTATACAAATTGCGTAAACAAATTGATTTTTTTTTTCATTTATTGTCACGCCGCGTGGCATTTAGATCTTTCTTGGTGGCCATATTTCTCAATATATTAAATATTGGCAACGACAAACTACATAAAATATTTACAACAAAGCTTTTTGTAGATTTGGCTTTCACAAAAACAAAAATCCAAAGAATTAAAGGTGAAAAACTTTAGAAAATATTGGTCCGGATGATAAAAAAAAATATTTTATTTACAATTATTCTTTATATAATTAAATAATATTGGAAATGGAACAATTAAAGTATTGATTTATAAAATAAAATAGATAATTATATGGACTTATCCGGCAATCGTACGCTTCAATCATTTTAATGCTTACATGTTAAGAAGTTTCAACTTAGAAAATGGGACCAATATAATTATAATGGATCGTATTCACATTGCAATTTGCATAACCTTTTTAAGGAATTTCCTTGGATTGTTGATTAGAATCAAAAGCCTCTTCATGAATCGGAAGGTTCAATCAAGCTCAAAGTCAACGACTCCGACGTGCCTCACCTGCCACGACGTACGGCTTTCCAAAATAACATTACAATCGATACAATTAAATTTGTCGTTATCTCATTTTAAAATTCCATAAACTTTCGTGTTACACAAATTCCATGAGATTTTGTTCACACACCCTGTTTGAATTTCGTTATAACGTCAATATATAATCATCATTTTAATAAAGCATAGAACATTATTATAACATTATATGTATGTACACATCTCTTTATTTTCATTAAAAACATCCTTTTCGCCATCCCAAAATATCAATAATGACGGGCCAAGTGTCCTTATTTAAAATATTTTTATGGTAACACAATATAAAAGTTTGAGCTGCAACTCCCTCATATATTGTTATAGTTACAAATTCATCACATTTATGTATCATTTTCTTCCCTTTATCGATTGTTTCATCTTTCTACTAAATATTTTTTTTTGGGTAAAACCCCCAATAATGAAGCATATAACGACATTATGGTATCTTGGCTTTTATTTTAAATGCTCTTTCATGGTCGTCATTAATACACTAATAATAATGTACAAACAAACTATAAGTTCTGTTTATAGGCGGGAACACATTATTTGATAGAAATCGATTATAAATATGGCAAGTTCCACTATGCAGATGGAAAACTCAACCATGCCATGTGTCATAAAGTCAGGGGTATTATTGGTATTTCACCTACGACGAGAGCGTCTCTTAACTATCTCAGGGATCGGTCAATCTCAGCCGTACGATCAAGCGATTCTTATCCATTTTATCCATGTCACATTCACAACAGCAATAATAAATATACTAAAATACACCGAATTCTTTTCTTTTTATTTATTTAAAATTTTAATCTGTAATCATTTGAAGATAATAACCTTTTCCGGTGTAAAAATCACGCAACCAAATAATTATAAGTTTGAAAAAAAAATTCCCATTATTTTTGAATTGTACTGTTTAGTCCAATAATAACAATATCAAGATAATGGGTATATTCATTCATTCATGAACAAGATTTCCACTAAAAATGTATCTTGGAATCCAGCCAACGTTACACTGAGCTGGAACATGGAAACAGTGTCCATGGGTATCAATCATACCACAGACATGTTTTAGATTATCTATTTGGTCTTTTTAGTTAGAAATAAGTGGTTTTTTTTTCTATTAACAAAGTTATTATTTTCGGATTTTTATATTACTGTTATTATTATTGATCATGAGCTGAAAATAATCATGGAAGGTAAAAACCCTACAAGCTCAGGAATTTTAAGGTCACTGAAATCCATTTCAGTTTTTATTATTTAATCAACAGTTGAGTTTTTTAAAAAAAGAAATAAAAGCAGAGGAATTTTTATAGTTTGCAGACAAAGAGACAACTTACTTAAATAAATTTATTTTTATTTTTTAAATGGGAGAAAATGTGGTTGTCTTCTTGTTCGTGTTCGTGAAGCGGATTTAGCATCGTAGTTGGTTTCCGCGTCCTTGATCAAATACAGATACGTAGAGAGAGAGAGAGAGAGAGTCTCCCTGAAGACCTGATCGAAGAAGAAGAAGAAGAAAAAACAGACAATTTGTAAGTTGATTTTGACCCATCTCTTCAATTAAATTGTTCTTCTTCGAATTGAACTGGGTTCTGTTGGTCGCTCCGTAAAGTCTCGAGCTTGGAAATTTTCTCTTCTAGGGTTTTATGCTTCCCCGGTTCTTCAGGGGAAGGGGCACTTTCTGTTTGTTTCTCGGGAAAGTCGGGAACTTTTAGATCTATTTTCTCTTATCGTGCTTACCTGATGAATATTGGGATTAGGCTTTCGAATTTCTGCTCAAATTTCGTTTATGCCAAGGGTATTTCCCGGTTCTTGAGAAGAAATTTACTGTAAACTGTTAATTTCAGCCGATTTTCTATGTTGGAGCTCTGTTGTCATATATATCGTAACTGATCATCTTACCGACCAATGAAGAATTTAGGGTTGGCTTTTAACTCCCAAGAAGATAGAAATCGCTGCAAACTTCTCCTCCGACATATATAATAGAGTCTCCCAAGATTTGTTGTATTTGATCCAACTCGGAATCAAATCTTAATTGCTGGGTCATGGAATCAGATTGTGTTCCATTGTATAATAGAGAGAGACATGATGGGATTCAAGGGCTGTTTCTTTTTGCTTTTAACATGTGTCCAAGATTCTTCATTTTGAACGAGGTTTCAAGTTAAAATTTGAATTAGTGTAGGCTTCCTTTTCATTTTTCATCTCTTTTAATGCGAATCAAAAGATGTTTCTGAATAAAGCCTGCGTGTTGTTGTTGTTGCTGCTGCTGCTGCCTGCTTTTGGTCCATCTTCTATTTTCTTCTTCTTTTTCTCGTGAGAATCTTTCTTTTTCTCTGCCTTTGATCCTTTCTTTGTTATTAAGGATCCGAAAGAAGAGGGAAAAAAAAGAAACTCGAATTCGTATCAAAACTATCGCTTTCCTTCTTGCAGTTGTGTGTTGGTGTGCTCGTAAGCTTCTCTCCCTCAGCTCAGTTCCACCCCGATCCCGTCGAGGGCAAAAATGTCATTTCGTAGCATAGTTCGGGATGTGAGGGACAGTATAGGGAGTCTGTCGAGGCGTAGTTTTGACCTGAGGTTGAGCGGGCAACATAAGGGCGGGAAGGCTCATGGCTCTGTTCAAGATTCTCACGAGGAGCGGCCTCTAATGGTGGTTCAGAACAGTCCGTGGGCCGGCCTGCCTCCCGAGCTATTACGCGACGTGATGGTAAGGTTGGAGGAGAGCGAAAGCTCGTGGCCCGCCCGAAAACACGTGGTGGCTTGCGCTTCTGTCTGCAGGTCGTGGAGAGAAATGTGCAAAGAGATTGTTCCGAGTCCTGAGCTCTCGGGGAAGATCACGTTCCCCGTATCGCTTAAACAGGTGAGACTGCCGCTTTGCTTTCGTCTCCGGGTCTTGGTTTACTTTGATTTCGGGTTCTTGAAGGGTTTGTTTCGATTTTTACAGCCCGGGCTGAGGGATGGAACAATGCAGTGCTTTATCAAGAGGGACAAATCTAACCTGACTTACCATCTGTATCTTTGCCTCAGCCCTGGTAACCTGACTTAGTTTTAGCCAATTTTGATACATCCGCTGTGACTTCTTACGATATGTAATCGCGATTTCTTTCAGCCTTGCTAGTTGAGAACGGGAAGTTCCTTCTCTCCGCGAAACGCATGAGAAGAACTACTTACACCGAGTATGTGATCTCCATGCACGCTGACAGCATATCAAGATCTAGCAACACCTACATCGGGAAAATAAGGTACGGACTATAGATCACGAGCCTGAACTCTTGTTTTCGGGGTTTACATTATTTGCCTAGTTTCGGGGTTGATTCTCTCTTTAGAAAAGAGACCTTTTTCGGGTATTTAAAGCTTAAAACTTTGGCTTAGTCGAGTTATAATTCTTGTTTCAGGTCTAATTTTCTCGGGACGAAGTTCATTATATACGATACACAGCCTCCATACAATCACTCTCAGGTCCAGCCGCCGGGCAGAAGCCGCAGATTTTACTCCAAGAAAGTTTCACCGAAAGTCCCGAGCGGAAGCTACAATATTGCCCAGGTCTCATACGAGCTAAATGTGCTCGGGACCCGTGGCCCGCGTAGAATGCATTGTGCAATGCACTCAATACCGGCTTCTTCCCTCGCCCCGGGAGGCACCGTGCCAGGACAACCCGAGATCCTGCCGCGCTGCCTCGGGGAATCATTCCGCAGCGTTGTCTCCACGTCGTCCGCAAAAATCACCAGCGACTTCTCCACGGAATTCAGCAGCGCTAGGTTCTCGGACATTCTAGGTCCCCGAGGAGGAGATGAGGATGAGGGGGACGGGAAGGAGAGGTTTTCGCCGTTGGTACTTAAGAACAAGCCGCCGAGGTGGCACGAGCAGCTGCAGTGTTGGTGCCTTAACTTCAGGGGACGGGTAACCGTTGCATCCGTCAAGAATTTCCAGCTCATAGCGGCGAATCAGCCGCCGGGATCCGCGGGTCAGACGGGTCAGTCCGACCAGGACAAGATCATCTTGCAGTTCGGCAAGATAGGGAAGGACATGTTCACCATGGATTTCAGGTACCCCCTCTCGGCTTTCCAGGCTTTTGCCATATGTCTGAGCAGCTTCGACACCAAACTCGCCTGCGAATGAGGTAACGTTCTTCGGCAAGATTCCAAGACCGGCCTCGGCTTTCGGACAAGTTTAAGTTCCCGTGTCTCTGGAACACTTTTATGCTTCAGAGATTCTTGTCTCGTGGTTAGATTTGATTTTCTAAACGGTTAATTTTTTTTCCAGATAAATCTGTAATATTTTCAGTTGCTTTTTTTTTTTTTTTTAACAAACTCGTATTGTTTGCTTCAGTGGTTACTGCCAGATGGGCGTTGTCTCGTTGGTCTATCATCCTCAAATACATTTCGTTGCACTCTTTGATTAGAATTCAATTTGAATAAATTCATTTTCATTGAGGATTTTGCTTAGACAAGCAAAAGACGCAATAAAAAAGGTTGACTTTTCATTTCAGTTTTTGGATATTCTTTTGACTTACAAATATCCATTCACACGTAAAAATCCAATCTGAATTTTTGTAACCTACCAATTTTTTTATGGAAGGAAAAGCAAAAGCAACAAGAACTGGGCTTATATGGGCCTAATGCTATCGCATAAAATGAAATAAGGTCCAAAACATTAGTAAGTCTTTATGGTTAGGTTTAAGCCCATAAAGGCCCAATAATTTTGACAAATGATAAGGGTAGTTTTGACATTTCAACTCATAGCAACAACCCTAGTTCCAACTTCCATGCTTCCTTCCCTTGCGTTAGATCCATCGCTCGCTGATTTCCATAAACCCATCAAGAATATCGTTTCTCTTCTTCTCTCAATTTGTGTTCGTCGATTTGAATGTTTTGTCGTTTGCTGTTTCCGAAAATTTTTGTGGCTTAGCTCTGACTGTTGCCCGATGATGCACAAATGAAAATTTCATCGAGCGGCTGTATTTGGATTCGCCGGCGTTGTCTCCTCAATCATCGGATCTCCGCCGCCGCCGTCGTCGTACCAGCACACATGCACCCGTCACCATCTCTTCTCCGACCACACACGTGCGGCGGTTTCGGCGGCGGTGTTCGATGTTTTTGGAGTGTCGGAGTAAACCCATATACGTTGAAGCCGTGAATGATCCGATCTAAAGCTATGAGATCTGAGGGCTCCTATACATATTTTTTGTTTGAATTTTAAAAGATCTGCGTCTGTTTCTCTGTGATCTGTGGGTGAAATTATGAGCTTTAGGAGAGAGCGATAAAGATGGCAATCTATTTCTTGTCTTGGCCTCTGAATCTGAGATAGATCTGAACCTCTCCAGTGCTTCAGTTTCAGATGCAAAGATGAAAAGTGGGTTTGCCTTCTCCGTCGGGAAGGAGATTAGGTAATTGCAGATTGATGTTGTTAACACTGGTCATTCGCCAGATGTTGATAATATCCGTCATTCAATTTCAATCAATGGCAAGGTAATGTTCTATTTCCATGATCTTTTGAGCAAGTCTTAGTTGAGGTTGTTCCTGTGATTATGTATATACAACCTCTCTGGTGTTTTATTACGGTTTCATTGTGTTTAATCTTGATTGACTTCATATTCAAGTTGAGATCTTTTTTATGACGATGCGTTGGGCTCTTAGCAGTTGGATATATTTTGATCTGCTGTTCTTGATGCAATTGCCTGAGTGTAGTAAAGCTTTGTCTGAACCTTTGATCTCACTGCTCATGAGCAATGTTGATATGTATGGTTTCCGGTTGGAATTAGCTGTCTGAACTTTGCTTATTTTGTCTGCCCTGCCCTTTCAAATGCGCATCGTTGTTTTTCTCCCTAGATCCTGCCATTGATCTCCATTTGTGGAATTAGCCCTTGAAATGTGTTTTTTTTTTCTAACGCTTGCTCTGTCATGAAAACTAAGTTGAAATGGGATGGTTCCAACCGGTTTTCCCTTGTCTACTTGCGTTGAGCACTTGAGCTGCTCTCACTCACAATCATCACCGCTGCAGCTGTTGCCACTGCCAACCGCAACACACTTGTGCTGCAGTTATGGTGAAAGCTATGCTTGAGAACTGGTTTGATGCGTTTCGGGTTAGGTTTAGAGTCCGAGTCACTCGGGTGTCCATGGGCGCTTCAAATACTTTGATACTTGCGGTCATCTGGTTGATGAGGTCGAGTCGGTGCGATGGTGAAGTCTTGTGTTTTCGCCGTCAATCTAAAGGTCGGATTTTTGCCATCCGACGAATGGATCCAAACCCGAAGGTGGGATTTTTGTGTTCCGACACATTGAGCCAAACCCAATTGATCCAAACTCGGAAGGTCGGATTTTTACCGTTGTTGGATCTGTATTCACCTTTGGTAAATATCCAATTTTCGGGTGTAAGGATAGGAATAGGATATCCAAACTTGGTGGCTGGCTTCGTTGGACCAAGACGTTATACTCCATTAAATTTTTCTACAATCAATTTGAACTTCTATGCTCACTCTAATAAAATCTCTGTAACGTTATGTTTTGTTTTTGGAATAAGCAGTTTTAATCATTTCTAAGTAACCAAATTAAAAGTAAACAGCGCCATTAAAATATTTTGAAGAAAATTTCAATAATAACCGGACAAGTTCGGTAACGACACCATACCATACAGCCAGCAGCAGGGGCAATTTTGGAACAATATAAATTATTCCTCTTTTTTTGCCCTATCCCGTCCCCGATAACGACGCAGAAGACTCTAGGCCCTGACGACATTTCCTTTTTTGCCCTCAACTTTCCCCTAAATTACAATCGGGTTCTATTCTGCGGCCGGCGATGCCTTCCCTCTCCGCCGTAGCTGTTGCGGCGAAAATGGAGGCGTCGCCAATCTACCGGCTTACCCAGGACACGATCCACCAGATCTTCTCGTCTCTGCCGCTCCGCGAGGTCATGATCTGCCGATCTGTCTGTAAGTTCTTCAACCAGCTCTTGACCTCGCCTTGTTTCCTGGAGATCATCTCCACGCGACCACCGTTGAATCTCCTCGCTCTCCGGCCACCGCATCACCACCACAGCCACCGTCGTGATGGCCACTCGGAGAATCTCCGGCCGTTCATCCACATCTACGATCCGGCGCAGAACCAGTGGTTCAGGTTCAGCCTCGATTTCCTTCCTTTCCGATCTCCTCTGCCCGTGGCATCTTCCAGCGGGTTGATTTACGTCTGGGGTGACTCGCTTGATTCGGCCGATTCCAGCAAGTCGCTCGTCGCATGCAACCCGCTGACTCGCCGGTTCAAGGTGCTTCCACAGCTCGGCTCGGCGTGGTCGAGGCATGGCTCTGTCCTGGTTGACCCGGTTAACCGAGTCATGGTGCTCACCGAGCTCGCGGCGCTGTATTACTCAGGTACGCTCGTGGCTAACCAGTGGATGAAGTTTTCTTCGAATTTGCCGTCGAAACCTAGGAGCCCTGTGTTGCTGTCGAACTCGGTTTTCGTCTTATGCGATGTTGGGTCACCATGGAGAAGTCAGTGGAAGCTTTTCTCGTGTGAATTGACAAACTTCGCCATCACTCACACCAACTGGGTATGCTTAGAGAAACATGAATGGGGTGACATATTCGGTATCATAAAACGACCTCGATTGCTGCGTGGAAATGGCGATTCGAGATTGCTGATGATCGGTGGGCTTAGGTCTACATTCTCGTTGAACCCGTCTTGTTCAACGATTCTGATACTGAGGCTGGAGTTAGAGAGATTGGAGTGGGAAGAAGCAGGAAGAATGCCACTGGATATGTATCGGTGTTTTCAAGAATGTAGCGAGTTCAAAGTGTTTGGAGGTGGGGATAGGGTATACTTCTCTGCCAAAAGGATGGGGAAGTTGGCAATGTGGGATTGTTCGGAAGGATGGAGATGGATCGATGGTGCCGTTGGATACAGTGACGGGCTTTGTCGCGGGTTCTTTTTCGACGCCAAGCTCACATCGGTTCCATGAAAAGGTGCATTCTTTCCATTCATTCCTCCTCTGTTCCTAATGATTCGTCTGTTCTTTGCTTGTGCTTTGAAATGTTTCTTCTGAACACGGTTCTTCCAGTCGCCTTCTTGTACGTACCACATTATGGCTGCTGTATTTGTCAAGATTGTTAACGCAAATGCACTTACATTGCTTCTCAACACTGTTTTTTCCGTTGCTACTGATATTTCGCCGATGCATTCGTTTAAAAGTTTTCGACTTTTTCCGTGTTTGGACTTCAGCGTCTAAGATCCGGGTTTCGCTTGCTTGTCCGAAAGTTGCGTGCTTGCTGCATAGGATCATGGAATTTGCCAAACTCCATAACAGCCCATTCACTTTGCTGCATGATGCTCTAACATCGGACTATCATGTAGTAATATATAATTGTTTTCTTGGGCATAGTCTTGGTTATGGTTCATATATGATTATTTTGGAGGTCCATCCATGTCCATAACAAGAAGGAAAAAAAAAACAAGATATAGGAAATTAAATAGAAAAAAAATAAGCAATATTGAGTTGTTGGAAACAAAATCAATAAACATTGAAATATTGGACCAAGTACGAGTTTTTAAAAGGGCCCACCTATGTTCCTGTCTGACGAACATAACCTTGATTGTCAATAGATTCGGAGTCGGTAGGATGCAATTTGGTTTTATATTATTTGTAAAAGAGATCGTCTTTAATTGGTATTATTATGTGACTAAAAAGCAAATCAAATTAATTGATATTATCTTTACGATATATTTTTTTCAATTGTATATCTGACCGTCCATAATAACAATAATAATAAAAGATTTTACCGTTTTTGTTCCCAATGCTAGTAGACGCATATTTGAGATAAATCCACAAATCTTATAACTCATATAACCTATGGTAACTGCCCACTACACATTTGAAGAAATTTGCCAAAAATTCCACTTTGTATGGTTATGGTATGGGACATCTACAACGATAATATTATTCGTGTACGGGCAAAAAAATAGGACAAAGCGTAATACGAAAAAGACAAGTCGTAGTAAAATCCCTTTTGTCCGTACGAAATTACAAGTAAATTCGTAAACTGCAGCTTCGTAACGTTAAAACGTTATTTTCGCAACTGACATATATGTGTATGTGTATGTGTATGTGTATGTGTATACATATATATGTCCACATCATGAATATACTATTGAGAGGATTAGTTGGAAGTGGGAGACAGATAATTCGAGTAAAAAAAAATTATATCTCTAATCTCTATTTTCTTAAGATGGGACTATATTGTTCAATTTCAATGAATATACATATATATATATATATATATATATATATGGTTTGATTCAGCATTTGACCAATGTACGAATTAAGAGATGTACTGCACCGCACGTACCAGCATTTGACCAATGTACGAAGCCGAACCTCATTAGCCCAACTCTTCCTATATCTTCTAACACTACGCGTTTTCTTGCAAAGGTGGAAAATAATATAAATGGAACCATACGATATGTAAAAATACTATTTTTTTTAATACATACAAACTTATGACACCAATACGATATGTAAAAATATCGGGATCTTACGTTACGTATTGGCGATAATACATTGTTCTAGTATGTTTAACTACGTTTCTTATACATCTAATGGTTTGGTGAAATGTACAAATGTTAAAATATGTTGTCGAATACATACATTAATATACATATATATATATATATATTGACTCCATGGTTGTTGTCTTTAATCTCCTTTATTACGTACAAAAGTTATCACGGACCACATATTTCATCGCAAATCTACATCAGAGTTAAAGATGCCAAATTTACATTAGAGTTAAAGATCAAATAAGAAAAATGTGCGATTATAATAAATTAATTCCGGACTTTATGTCGCAGTAAAAAAGGTAAGACAGATCCAAATAAGATTAGTTGTCCGAATTCCCAAAGGAAGTCCAATAAAGGACGATCTATTTGGTAGTGCATAATAATGTCACGTATCTTTTTTTGTCGGGTCCCTATCAGTATTTTTTGTCGTTATTATTGTAGAAAATATAAATTTTATTACAATGTAAACTCATAATATTATGTTCTCAGAATTAGTGGAGAAGGAGAAGGAGAATATTTTGAATAATGGACGAAAAAACTTGCATTTGATAATTTGTAAAGGACGTAACTTACATGAAAGACCACTTGATTCAACAACATGTTTCGAAATTATTACATAACTTAAAAAAAAGGCATATGTCGGAAATGGGAAACTTTCTCTTGGCGTGCTGGTTGACTTCATTCTTCACTCTTGTCTCTTTTATTATTTCCGAAGATTTTTGCATACTTAGGACTCCTGCAAGAACATATTAACCTTTATTTTATCATCAAGGGGTAATATATATATATATATATATATATATATATATATATATATATATATATATTCAGCAATTAGTATATATGAGAGATTTACCATATTAAATGCAATTAATAGTGGTATGGAGGAGGTGGAGATGCGTAGATGTAGTGATGAGGTGGTGGTGAGTAGGTCGGAGGAGGTGGAGACTTGTATTTGTAGTGGGTTTTGGGTGGTGGCGGGGAGTGATAAACGGGAGGAGGGTAATGCATTGGCGGAGGAGGAGACTTGTATTCGTAGTGTTCCTTCGGTGGTGGTGGAGAATGGTAGACCGGAGAAGGAGTGTAATGGTGAACCGGTGGAGGAGGAGATTTGTACACATAGTGTTCCTTTGGTGGGGGCGGAGAGTGGTAAACCGGTGGAGGAGTATAGTGATGAACTGGTGGAGGAGGAGATTTGTATTCATAGTGTTTCTTCGGAGGAGGTGGAGAGTGGTGAACCGGATGAGGAATGTAGTGGTGAACCGGTGGAGGAGGAGACTTGTATTCGTAGTGTTCCTTCGGAGGAGGTGGAGAGTGATATACAGGGGGAGGAATATAGTGGTGGACAGGTGGAGGAGGAGATTTGTATTCGTAATGTTTCTTAGGAGGTGGTGGAGAATGGTAGACGGGAGTAGGAGTGTAGGGGTGGACAGGCGGAGGAGGAGATTTGTATTCATAATGCTTTTTAGGAGGAGGTGGAGAATGGTAAACGGGAGGAGAGTAATGGTGAACGGGAGGAGGTGGAGATTTGTATTCGTAGTCTTTCTTGGAAGGAGGAGGAGAATGATAGATGGGAGGAGGATTGTAGTGTTTGACAGGTGGAGGAGGAGATTTGTATTCATAATGCTTCATAGGAGGTGGCGGAGAATGGTAGATCGGATGAGGAATGTAAGGGTGAACCGGAGGTGGAGGAGACTTGTATTCGTAGTGCTTCATTGGTGGAGGAGGAGAAGAGTAATAGTAGTTGGCAGAGGTTTCAGAAGCAAAGCTTAGAGAAACTGTGAAGACGAGCAAAGTTGATAAGAGAGAAGCCATTAATGGAGACCCCATTTTTGTTTCTCTTTAGAGAAAGGTTGTGGTTTTGCGCTCTATGCTTAGTCCCCCTTCCCCCTATCCTTTATATAGACTTTGTGGATTTACCCTTGTGGTGAAATGGTATATTCGTAATTTCCTCGTTCGGTGTAAAAAAACAATTATATATGAACAAACATTAAAGAAAAAGAAATGATGACGTTCGTGTATGAAACTTGTGTATTGATCTTTGTTTTTGTTATTTTCGAGCTGTCGATGGTTGACATGTGCTCCATGTTCATTAGTTACATATATATATATATATATCAAACTAAATCCAGTGTTTTTTAATTGAAAATTAAACCTAATTTTAACACAACCTTAATTTATTCCTTTTTTTAAAAGGTATTTGTATTAATTAACTGCACCGATACAAGTAGGAGGAGGAGATGTTCAAAGTTAAAATGCATTGTTAAATCAAACCGACGAGGTTTTTTTATTCTTATTTTAAATAATAAGAAAAATACTTTCTTATAATTTAAAGTAATTAACAAAATTATTGATCGTGGGTATCAAATAGATGATCTTGGAAATGGGAACATCAATTTTGGTTCAGAAATTAAAGACGAAGTAATAGAATAAGTTCATTGCATTTCAGAGGGGAACCTTCATTACAACAAATGCATATACATACGCCACACACACACACACATATATATATATATATATACACGTAATATGTCATATACTGTGTATGTATAAAACCAACCAAAACCCTAATCCATCTGTTATTCACAATGGGTGGCTTTTTTTTTTTCAGGGTAATTTTCTCTTTTATCAAAATGTCATGTTGTAGTTTCATCTAATATTGGATCCCTCATCATGAATATGAAAATTACATGTTGACTGATAAAACGTATACATCCTAATAATTTATTTGCAACTTGTCAATCATAAGCTAATATTTTATATTTATACAAGTTGAAAATTTTAATATACAATATTTTTCGTGTGTACACTATAATGTTGTCCTGAAAATCTATCTGAACTAATCAATATTGACGATTATATATATTACAATTAATCATACATCGATTTTCTGTAAACCACTAAGTGAAGCATCCAAAACTTGCTACGAAGAGGTTTATGATCTGTCACATATTCTCTAATTATATATAAAACCCTAACACAAGTTTTTGGACTCGTAATAATAGTACATAAAAAAAATATTTGTTACAAAACGTAGAAAACGCGTTAAAGAGAGGCTGGCCATTGTCGAATAGTCGAAGGGAAGAGTGAAGGAGAGAAGGTGGCCCGACATGCATTGAATCTTTTGGCTTTGGATTTGGATTTGGAGAATTTTATAATCTTTTTTAAGTTTATTCCATCAAATTTAAATATATCAGAGTAAACTTCTCGTATTAATATATATAACTCGAACATTAGCCATACATACACACACATATATATATATATATATGTAAGTGTGTGTGTATGTATTCTTCTAGGCGTAGATATATAGAGACAGAATTAGTTACACCTCACTCTCAATGATTTAGCATCGAAATATTGAACATCTTAACGATTAATTTTGTAATTATTTATTACCACAACATATTTAATTATCAAAATATATGGACTAGTTTACCTGAATAATCATGGATCAAACCATTATGGATTAAGATGTAGACTAATCATCGACTTCATACATTTTTAAAGTTATCTCAAATATCTTACCATATTGGTTAGTGGTCAAGAAGATATAGCTAATCTTGAAACAAATGAACGTCAACGGATTGTAAAATAATCACCGTCTTATTCATTTAGTTAAGTTGTCATTATCTTAGTTCAGGTTTATTTACTACCATATATGATAAATAAAAAAATTCTCCTCTCAATTTCTGATTATTTTTTGTTTGTATACATATATATGATAGATATATTTTTGTATAAATATTATTGGAGACTTATTATTATTAAAAATTTAGTGCTAACGGTATATATATATATATGTATATATATATGTGTGTGTGTGTGTGTGGACGAAATATAATTGTAGAAAACATCGTATGTATGTACGTGCATATGTCCATATCAAGAAAAGATTATAGGGGAGTAGTTGGGCGAGGACAGCGATATTGGAAGTGGGGGACACATAATTCCAGTCAAAAGATAATATCTCTAATTTCTATGTTTATTTATATATATATATATATATATATATATATATATATAGTGTTTAATTCAGCGTTTGACCCATGTACGAGTTCAGAGTTGTACCACGCGTTTTACAGAAAATAATCTAATAATAGAACAATATGATATATAAAATATTATCTTTTTTATACAAACTTAACACGTAAATGCTCAACATAACGTTAATTGTTTTCGGGATATAAAATAGATAATTTGTATTTATCATTATCGATTGGAGATTTTAGATATCAAGACATTGTTTTAATATGGTTCGGCTACTTTTCTTACTTAATCTTGGAGTTACATTTATTGAGTAGCGAAAAAATGGAATTACATGTAGTCGTCAAAACCCGATGGAAGTCAACAAAGAAGGCCGATCTGGTGCGTACTTGATGATAATCTTACATATCTTTTCTTTGTCGGGTTCCTATTAGGGTTTTTGTCGTGGGGAAAAAAATGTAATAATGAGAAGCGAGAAACCATTTTATTTTATTTTGATGTTTGTAGAAGAAAGTACGTAACCCACAAATATTTCATTAACCGCATGCATGAAGGACCACTTGATTCAACAGCATGTTTCGAAATTATTACAAACTTTTTTTTTTTAAAAAAAAAAGGACGGAAATGGGAAACTTTGTCTTAAGAGCGACTGTTTGACTTCGTGCTTCACTCTTGTCTCTTTTATTATATCCAAATATGCTTGTATACCGAGGGACTCCTGTTTATCATCAAGGGGTAAAATCATTGGAATTTACTCGATTATATATATTTTCACGAATTAAAATAGAAGAAATTTACCATATTAAGTGTAATTAATAGTGGTACGGAGGAGGTGGAGACTTGTATTCGTAGTGGGTTTTAGGTGGTGGTGGAGAGTGGTAAACGGGAGGAGGGTAATGCACTGGCGGAGGAGGAGACTTGTATTCATAGTGTTCCTTCGGTGGTGGTGGAGAGTGGTAGACCGGAGGAGGAGTGTAGTGGTGAACCGGCGGAGGAGGAGACTTGTACATATAGTGTTCCTTTGGTGGGGGTGGAGAGTGGTAAACCGGTGGAGGAGTGTAGTGGCGAACTGGTGGAGGAGGAGACTTGTATTCATAGTGCTTTTTCGGTGGAGGTGGGGAGTGGTAAACCGGAGGAGGAGTGTAGTGGTGGACAGGTGGAGGAGGAGATTTGTATTCATAGTGTTTCTTGGGCGGTGGTGGAGAGTGATATACTGGGGGAGGAGTGTAGTGGTGAACTGGCGGAGGAGGAGATTTGTATTCATAATGTTTCTTAGGCGGTGGTGGAGAGTGATATACCGGAGGAGGAGTGTAGTGACGAACAGGTGGAGGAGGAGACTTGTATTCGTAATGTTTCTTAGGAGGTGGCGGAGAATGGAAGACGGGAGGAGGAGTGTAGTGACGAACAGGTGGAGGAGGAGATTTGTATTCATAATGTTTCTTGGGTGGTGGTGGAGAGTGATAGACAGGAGGAGGGTAATGTTTCATAGGCGGAGGGGGAGATTTGTACTCATAGTGCTTCTTGGGAGGAGGTGGAGAATGATAAACCGGAGGAGGGTTGTAGTGTTTCACAGGCGGAGGGGGAGATTTGTATTCGTAGTTGGCAGAAGCAAAGCTTAATGAAATTGTGAAGACGAGCAAAGTTGATAAGAGAGAAGCCATTAATGGAGACCCCATTTTTGTTTCTCTTTAGATAAAGGTTTTGGTTTTGTGCTCTATGCTTAGTCCCCCTTCCCCCTAACCTTTATATAGACTTTGTGGGTTTACCCTTTCAACTTCTACCATTGTGGTAAAATGGCATATTCGTTATTTCCTCAGATGTAGAAAATTATTGAATATAAACAAAAAGAAATGATGACGGTCGTGTCTGAAACTTGTGTATTGATCTTTGTTTTTATTATCTTCTTGCTGTCGATGGTTGACATGTGCTCCATGTTCATATAACACACACACACACATATATATATCAAATCAATTAAATACAATGTTTTCCAATTGAAATTAGACCTAATTTTAACATAACCTCTATTTATTCATGTTTTAAACAATGTATAAATAAAACTAATTTTACAAAATTATAGATCGTGGGTATCAAATTGATGGCCATGAAAAGGGAACATCAAGGAAAACAACTGTATACACTACATGTCTCTAAAACTCTTATCAATGTATATTTAAGTGAAAATGTTTGTTCGCGAAGGACAAAACAATTGGATACATTCATTGCATTTATGAAGGAAATCCATGATTACAATAAATTAAAAAATACTAAAAAAAAAACAAAACAAAAACTATTGTGATTATAATTTATAGCATTTAATGAATAACTTTTCTCTAGATATGCCTAAAGTTTTGCATGACTCATCTCGGGTCTCTACCACCTGGCCCAGCCCATACATACATACATACATACATACATACATACATACATACATACATACATACATACATACATACATACATACATACATACATACATACATACATACATAATATTTTTTATGTATGTGCATTGCATTATTCTTGACAGTCCATTAACCTAATTAATCTTAACTATTATAAGTTAACAAAAAAACATCTTAACGATTATAAATTTAATCTCGATAGGAAATTATTCATACAACGATCGATTTTCTATAAACTTGCTTCGGAGAGGTTTACGATATGTTTCATATAATCTCTAATTATTATAAAACCCTAACACAAGTTTTTGGAGTTGTAATAATACATTATTTATTTAAAGAAATATATAAAACGCGTTAAAGAGGGGCGACCATTGTTGAATAGTCGGGGGAACAGCGAAGGAGAGAATGTGGTCCGCCATGCATGGAATCATACCTCGTGGCGGTGACATTGAATCTTTTGGTTTGGATTTTGGTGGTGTCTATACACATTTATTGCCATTGTTTACTTAGAACTTGAATAATCTCTTTTTAATTTATTCAGCCACCTTTAAATATAATCAGATTAAGCTTTTCATATCAAGATTTAAAAAAAGTTGATATTCGGATTAGATACATATAAATGTGTGTGTGTGTGTATATATATAGGTCTAGCTAGATATATTGAAATTTAAGTAGTTGCCTCACTCTAATTGAAATAATGAACATGTAACATATCATTATTGAGGGTTTTTTAGTAATCGTGGACCAACCATTACATGTTTTTAAAACAGTTATTATTGTTGTTATTGACAATCGAATAAACCAAAAATTAGTAGAACTCCTAATTCCATATGAAATATAATTCCTAATAATAAAGTAACTTAAAATAAATAATAAACGTAACAATATTTAAATTCAAATACTCCATAATTATCAGTACAAATCATTATGCCTTATGTATTTTCGGTTCACTTTGAATGCAATTATAGACCTATTAATATAAGCAGCTAGAGAAGATGTAGACTAATCATCGACTTAATTAGGGTTTTTAATGTTATCTCAAAAAGCTTGCCATCTTGATTAATGGTCAAAAGATATAACTAATCTTGAAATATGTGATGCCAATGAAATGAATGAACGTCAATGGGTTGCATTTAAAATAATCACTATCTTCCAATTCATTTAGTTGATTTGTCGTTATTTTTAGTTTAAATTTATATATTCTCCATATGGCAACTTTTCTTCTCTTATCAATTTATATTTACTTATTTCTCTTCGATGCTCGGTTCGTTACTTTTTTTTTCCAAATCATATGTATAAGTATAAGTACCATATGCTTAAGGAAAGTTAAAAAAAAAATGCAAAACTCGGTAATTTCAAGGTCCAAATCAATGATGTGAAAACGACAAAAAGCATGATTGAGATTGTATAATATTGGAAAATATCAGCCAATTTTCGAATTATTATAGTCTTTACCACAAAAAAAAACACATAAATAAATAGCGTCAACCATGTTAGGAGAAATCAAGACTTATTGCATGGGAATTGCTTAAAAAGTCTTGGTATTGAATTGTTTGGTAGAGGGAGATGAAAACCAAGCACACTAATTTTGAAAAGAATTACAATATATATGATTGTGAGAAATAAAAATAATTATAATATATATATAATATAAAAAATAAAAATAATTATCGAGTTTCTGATACTACTTGGGAGAAATTAAACTCCGACAGAATTATGTCCTAAGGCAAATGTCGTCAATTCTCCTTACACCTCACACCTAGGAATAGGAACACTATTCCGTTCACTTATTTATCTATTTTTAAAAACTATTATAATTTATAATATTATGTGGATGAGTTGGATGAACGTGTTTCTTTATACATACATGCATACATATATATATACACACACACACGTAGAAAAAAAAACATGTATTGACAAAAAAAAACGAGACAACTACGTCAAATATGTTGGTGAAGAAGATAGCGTACGAGCATCTAGATAAGACAAAAATGTTGAAATTGATATTTCATTCCTATTTATTACACGATCTTCTTCAATATTGCACTTGTTTTTTTTTATTAATTTGTTGATAAAAAAATTACAAAACTTAGGTGCTGATCCTTCTATAACAATTCTCATTCATAGAGAATATTGATTAATTGATGAAACAGAAAAAAATAGTATTGTCATATATATATATATATATATATATATATATTTAATAATCTTATTCGTTATATATTTATTTGATCAAATTTCAAAATATTTAATCCAAATTAGAAATGAATGAAAAATAAGAATTCATTCGATCGATCCAATATATTTATTAGAAATTATATAAAACATTAATATATATATATATATATATATATATATTGGTGATGATTTTGTTTAGTGTTATGTTTTGATATTATTTTTTAGTATTATATTTTAATAAAAAAATACAATAGTATAATTTTTAGGTTTAATAATGATTATTTTTAATAAATTTTATAATAAAATTATTTTTTTACTTAAAAATAAATTAAATCGATATTATTTCTATTTAAAATTTATTATTTAATTATTATAAATTTAGTAAATAATTTTTATCAAATGATATTACAAAGTTAATTAAAACTATTATAAAAAATTATTTTAAAATAATATTTTTTTGACAATTTATATCAAAACGCAACCGCAACGGTAATGAACCATTCACTTCTAACTGCACCCACCCGCAATCGCTACCAACAACAACTTATCAGCCAATCAGTACTAATTATTTATAATCGCTATCAAACGTTCTGAAAACGCTGTCAGCCGCAACCGCAACCGCTGCGGTACAATCAGTCGACGAACCCTAAGACAACCAATATTCATATTTCAAAAAAAGAAAACAAAATTTGAAATTCTTTGACAATTTTTTTATTTAAATTTCTCTATTGTAAATCAGAAAAACTATTTGTTAACCATCTTTCGAATGATATTTTTAGCATTTATGACTCTAATTACCTAATTCAATAAATTTTTATATATTATATAAAATACAAGAAAAGAGTTATCTGTTTAGAAGAATTAAACAGATGTCATCAATATTTAGCCAACAATTATACTATTTACAACGTGTTGTAGTCCCTATTACATTTTATTTTACTATTATTTATCATTTCATTTTGGAAGAACTCTTTGTTTAAAAATCATTGTCATTTAGCCATTTATTAATGACATTAAATCAAAATTGTCTTTGACTCTTTGCTTTCTTTTTTTAATATATAATTATAATCACATTAATTGCCATTAAACTCGACATGATACGTGTCTTGAGTCTAATAATATTCATTGGAAACAATTATAATTCAGAAGTCTTTGTTTGATCAGAAAATGCTTAAAAAAAAACCAAGAAAATATGGAAGAATTAGGTGAGATGATTATTTTCCAGTGTGACATCTTGGAACTTTGCCAAAATATAATATCTATTAGGTAGAGTTAGATCTCGATCCATTTTATTTAATATTCTAGTTGTTGTTAAAATAAAATTCGTTAACCAATACGTCTCCTTTTCCTCATTCATTAAAAAATATATAAAAATCGATTCGATTTTTTGTTCACCAAAACTAATCATTAGATTTTTAAAGAAATATGTTATTCACCGACATGGAAATTTTCTGGTAAAAATAATTAATTTACTTGTCCTATATTGCGGTATAATTTCATCCTCCATGATTCTATGATTAAAACAACGAGTCAATGAAGAGGCTAGAGCATTATCTTTTGTGGGGGTAATATTATATATATTAATATATAATTTATTTTGTTAACAATTTTAACAATAAATGGATAACAATGGGAATAAATTAGTGAACCGCAACCAAGAAGTATTTATCATACATTTTATCCTAAAGTATACGAACCGAGGTTAAATTTATGAAGGAAAAAAATAAGAAGAAAATAGTTAAATAAATATATATATAAGTAAAAGAAAATATGATGGGCTTATTACACAACCAAATCATGTCTTTGCTCGTAGATTTGATGGAAGATTCGTTTTCTTAAGTGAAAGAAAAGTCGACGCGGAGAAAAGAATCTGCTTTTGAATATGCCAAACATTATCAATCTTCATCCATTTATTATTATTATTATTATTATTAATTAAAATTATTACCTAGAATAATCAGTTTATTTCTACTTTGGAAACCTCAAAACTAATACGAACTATGCAAATTTTCGCGTTTTAGTAACAATTTTTTAAACCCACATCTTCCATACACATAATTTGTAGATTTAATATTATAATATATAACGTCTAAACTTCGTAAATGGGTGAGATTATACTTTGGCCCTTCTATAATTGGGATAGACCAAAACGATTTCGTTTTGTGATCGTTCTGTACCAAGTCACAACACGTAGCAAATTCGAATATCAAAATTGAAAGTTTAAGAGATCGAATAAAAAAAAAATGCACATTCCCCCCCCCCTACGTAGTTATGTTCATTATAATTATACTATAACCTTTAGGGAGAAATAACATGTAGAAAATAATCGGTGAAATGGTGGCGCAAAACGTATGTTCCGTCCCGAGTTCAAACCCCAGGCTGGAGAGAGAGTGTATAATTCAAATCACATGGCTAGCTCTCGGCCTCGGAATTAATTTGGATCTCAGCCAGAAAACCCGATTACCCAAAAAAAAGAAAACAAGAATTCAATTAGGTAACATTTCAATTTTTTTTTTTTTGAGAAAGAAAAGAAAGAAAGGACTAAAGTATTCAAAAAAGAAAAAGAAAGGAATTTGGGGAAAGCAATTATAAAGCTCGTTAATTGAGGACACCACCCCTACTCATATAACGACTGGCCATTTATATATATATATATATTATATACACATATGTGGGAATTGCTTATCAACTGAATATGATCATCATATTCCAATCAAATTTAACACAAAAATCGAATAAAATAAATACGAATTTTTTTAAAGCTATAAAACCAAATCTAAACCGATATAAAATAACCGAAAATCCAAAAATTGTTCTGAAAAATTTAATCAGTAAAATCAAACCCGAACATAAACCCAAAAATACCGATTCCAATATAAAAACGGAACAGATAAAATTTTATAAATCCAAAAAAACCATCTTTATATAAAACCAAACCATATACAAACTTGGGGTGGCTTAAAACGATATTCATATAAAGACGTATAGACAAATTCCATTCCCCACCACCAAAATGACAAGGGAGGGAGTATGTCGATTGAGTATATTTCCTTCAAAAAAACAAAAGGGAAAGATTTTGAAATTTTCGTCTCGGTGGTATTTCTATGACACAAGAAGCTCATGAAATTTGGAAAATACAGATTACACCATTTCCAGGACAGAAGAGTTAGATTTTATCACCTCACTCACATTGTGGATTCTCTTGAGCATTCTCCCTTGCTCTTTTCCGGGGAACTCCATCGAATGAGGAAGCATATCTCGAGATCCTTGAAGGAAGCCGGTTTTTTTTCCTTACCATCTGGTGGAGTCCCAAGAGGGTTTGCGGGTTCAGCTCCTACCGCGTGCTCCAGGTCTTGGACCTGGCTTCCTCGAGAATTGGAGCCGCAAGAACTTGGATTCTGGATCCGTTTCATCCATCCGGTAACCTGTGCAAGGCAAGATACCCGTCAGCAAAGTTCGAGGGCACGCAAATTGGGTGAGGGAACAGTGATTCTTCGTAGAAGCAGAAAGATTGATGAACATTATGCACATAATCCTTAGAGGTCCTGTCTCAGATCTATAAACGTGAAAAAAAACAAGCTCAATAGCTCAGTTATTGTCGTTAGCAATTTCTTGATAATAAAGTAATGAACTTTCGTTCAGAAATCGCGTAAAAGTCGACATCTTTAGATAGGCAAAATCACCTCGCAAGGCACTCAAAGCAGTTGCTGCACAGGCGGGATTTATAAAATCAACAAAACAAAGAACAACAGGATCTCCGTTCCGCTGCATTGCGTACAATATAAAACCCTTTAGTATGTCAAAACTCAGATATGATGAGATTCGGGTGTAAAATAATTTCAAGAATGCCTGATTCAGGAACTCGTAAAAACTTACAAGTTTAGATTCTTTGGTCACAAGCCTCACTTCTTTGTATCCCACAAAAGGTCGAAATATATCTGGAACTAGGTTAAGGACTGTGAACTCCGAAACTTCTGTTTAAGTTAGAGAACGAAATATCGGCATAGATTTTCTGCCATGACCCAATAGAGAGGATACGAGCTACTTCCCTCCGTGAGCAATTAGAAGGCAGACCTTCAACATACAGAGTGTTGGAAGCATCGGGAGGTAGAGGAAGTATATCGTGGCTAGACCTAACAACTCCATTGAATTGCCCCATCGTAGGCTCGCCCATGGATGGGTCAGTCACTGTGTTACCTCTTCCTGGTATTCCCATACCAACTCCATTGAAAGGGCCAGCTTCTCCAGATGGCACAGAAGGCATTTGCTTCGAATGAAGTCACGAAAAATTTTCAGCCAAGAAAGGAAATCAATAGAAAACATACAAGAGGAGCCGAGAAAACGAGATGACTGAGTACCATGCTCTGCAGGTAGCGGTCATAAGCTGACCCAATAGTATTGCTATCCTTGACTGATTGAAAGCTAAGATGATCCTCATCCCGTGGCAAATAATTGTGGATTTCACGGCCTGAAGGTATTGCAGAACCTGGAGTTTCTGCAAAGAGAAAAACAATGGAATTCACTTTTCATGCTTTCATTTCACAATGTTTTTCCATACACGCATACATATAGGAACGTAATAAAGCCTTTGAATTTCTTCGCCCGAAAAATCAAAGTGAGTTCAGAAGCTGAACTCTAGAGTTGTATTACGCCGTTAATAACTGATATCTTGAGCTGTATTACAGTATCCATACAGCAGGATGGATTCACAAACCATGTAAACACTTGCACACTCTGAGGAAATTTACTTGAATCAAAGCCCCCAAACTATGAGCCCTAGTGAGAAATGGTTGCACAAAATCTGACAAGAAGCAGTTCATATATATACCAGAATACCACTCATCCATTAAACCCAACGGAATTGATTTAGCGTTCATACTGAATCATAATCCATCTGCACATTCATGCCCATTACCAATCTACCACTCATCACGTCTCGAGGCAACAAAAACCCAGTTTCCGACACTTAACCTATAAGCAAAAACGCATAAATCCGACAAACCCAGCAAAAAATTCCATGCTGAAATTCAACGAAAACGTCAAAGAGAGCTCCTTGAGGCTCAAATGTAAATCATGGTGGAAGAAGGGAAACCGTCTTACCGAACCCAGAACGGGGACGTTTCAGACGCCCACCGGGAGGAATAATAGGCGGAGGATGCTGCTTCTGTCGCTGCTGATTCCAGTATCCATCCGCCATAGATGACGACAGAAACAAAATATCGAGGGATCACAACATTCAGAAAGAGGGTACCAAAAAACCCCTGATTTCAGGAACAGCTTCGATGTTCGGTCTATCTACACCGATTCGACAAAACCCCCATCACTTCGTTGCTTGCTTGTTCTTCCGCTACAAATCGCTCCCAGCTGCAAATTCAAATCCCGTCGGACAATTTCTTCTGCCCGAATTCAAAGTTTGATCCTTTCACCCATGGGCAACCGAGTCCTGGATGATCCGACCCGAACCTCGAAGATCCGATCCGTTTTACTGGATCTGTTTGGCGAACTGATAGTAACGGGCCACCAAATTCATAGATTAATAGCATGGGCCGGGTTAACCCGATTGCATTTGGTCCAAGTAGCCAATAATTATATTATAAGCACCTTAACTTTAAATGCATAAAATAAAAATACACTTTGACTTCGATAAAAAAAAAAAAGAAAAAAAAAAGAGGAAATCACAGCACTTTCGGACCTTAAAATTTCATTTGAAATCATTTTTGTGTTTGATCGATTTTCTTACTAAATTTTCATGCTTGAATATATATACATAGTCATGTATACGTCAGAACGTACAGAAAGTCAAAATAAATACGTATAATTCATATATATATGTATATGTGTGGGTGTGAGATACGCGTTCATGGGTGTTATTTAAGGGCATCATGGATTGTCGCATGTCCTTGCATGCACAACCCCTATAGCGAGAAATATTGGTTTTATTGTCATTTTTCAGTATTTATGACTATCACATGCATAAGAATTATGAATTAAATTAAATAAAGACAAAATGATGAAATAGATAGAATATGATAAATAAACCGCAGTGCCTCAATTTCTCCTTTTATTTCATGATATTGAAAAACAAATTGGGATTTAATATTTCAAATAAATGCTTATTTTACGGCCCAAAATACCGTGTATTAAATTCTTAAATACAATTTATATATAAATTAAAATGCAACTTTGTTGCCCATACCGTCATTTCATGGTAAACATCCCAAACTAGACACTCCTGCAGCTACGGTAATGTATTCATAGATCGAGAATTTCTTCGTGCCTAGTTGTGTATAAATATATATATATATATAATCCGTGTGAAATCATAATTTATGTATTTAATAGCAAACTAAGTTATTTTAGATTTGGTAATCATTAAATGCAATAATATATTTCATCTAGTGAATTAAGAGTCTAACATAGATTTTGGGAATAACTAATTAATGTATCGATTCATTATAATTCTAAATATTAGCTATCATATTTAGAAATTTATTACTATTGTTATATTAAAATTAAAAATGGGCACAAATTAATTAGTTAACGTGTATGTATTGAATTGTCTTTAAAAGAAATATAAAAAGAAATTATGTAAAAAATAAACTATAGTTTGGACATAATACGGCCAACTTATAATCATTCGAATCGATATTTTGTATATTGTTTTAAAGTGAAGCCCTAGATGGAAATATTTTAATAGTGAATATATATATATATAGATATATAAGAAAATGAAATAAAATTAAATATGAGAATATGGTCTATATATATAAATAAATATTAAAGGGCGGTGTTATATTTGATGGTGTCCAAGTCTTTTGGCGACATGGGGCATAGACAAGAAGTACTTGCTCGCCATGTCTTCTGCTTATTCTTCACCAAAGTTTATTTGTTCTCAAGCCTTTGGCTTATAATCATTTCTCTAAAGTTTTAATCATTCACTTGGATCATCAATCATCACATTCTCTCACCATTTCTCTTTTTTTTTTCTTCCCAATCATATATGTTATTATATTAAAAAAATATATATCATCATATATTATTATTGAAACTGGAAAAGAAAATAGAAAAAAAAAAAGAAGAAGAACCAACAAAGATAAACGGGATGAACATAAAATAAATTGATATAAACCAAATATTCTCTAATAAACATTAAAATCCATGGTTTTAAAAAAAAATCAAAATTAATCAGGAAATTTTGATATTTAGAATAATTTAACTAAAATATATTATTTAAATTGTTAGTATTCTATAACTTCGAGAGTTTTAGAAAAAAGAAAATCTAGGCATGTATTTTTTTTTTACACAATATTGGTGTAAAATAACTTTTTGTTGGCAAACACGATAATCCAATAGAATTTATTTTGTTGCTTTAAAATGACTAAGTTCATAGCATTCTCAGAGCTAGGGCACAACAAAATCCGGGAAATAAGGCTTTGGAATGCGATTATTATTACATTATTATTAGTTCCTAATCTCAATTACCTTAATTTAAAACAATATCACTTAATTACCCATTGTCTTGTCTTTAGGCCTTTAGAGCTATATTTTAATTGTCATGGCTACAATTTTTTTTTATAATTATGTTATTGATGATGATGATGAGATGATGATATGTCATGGAGCATAGAGACAATTGAGACACCATCACCATTTTGTCATGATGATGTTGAAATATTTGATTTTTTAATGTATATTGTAATTTATTATGTATCTTTATAAGTATATATCAACAATACAATACAAGTCTGATACTTTGTGTAAACATAGGTACATGCACAAATATACATGACGATATATTTTAAATATATAACTTTTGCGTGGGAGATCTTCCATCATCCATCCAAATGTTTTGAACTTGGTGACCCACCAATCTCGTATTAGCTCATCTATACATACATATATATATATATATATATATGACGAGAAATGATGGAATGTATATGACCCTACACCTCGAAAATGCCAACTATTTTTTAGATTATGACTTTAATTAAAATGTAATTTGTAACCGTTCAATACACACCATAATTTGTCGATGAAATTGTTTTACAATGAATCGAGACTTCAAACTTTCCTCATAATAATTATTTGAAAATAATATTATATCATTTAATAAAATTTCTTTGTAGTATAAGAGGAAAATAAAAATAAAAAAATAAAAGGGAAGGTTATGGTGATGGGTCAATAATGTTCCAACATTCTCCTCGACTCACTCCCCCAAATGTGGAGTCATGCATCAGATCTTCGGTCCCACTTACTACAGACGATTTTTTTTCATTAGAATTCGATTTTTTTTTTTATTTAGAAAATTATATGTATTTAATTTTTTAGATTGATTCAGAATTAATTTGGTTGTTTTCATTTTTAGTTCGATTTTTATTTGTAAAAATATTCATTATTTTAAAATATTTTTCCTTATTTTATATTTAGTTTGAATTAATTTTTTAAAAAAATTTTAAAATTACAAATATTTGATTTTAGATGCAAATAGAAATATACATTTCTAATATATAGAGCCTTTGCATATTTTTACATTTACCACTATGGTGGCTATATTAAGGTTGGATTAAAATAAAATGGATTTTAGTTGAATATTGATAATGATATTATATAACCGAATTCGATATATAATATAGTATTTATGATTTTTTAAAATTGAACATTAACAAAATGAATTCTAATTGTAATAGTTATTATTTATATGTTCATAAACGAGATTCGAAACTATATACATAATTTAACATCATCTATATTATATACTATACTACAGTTGATGAGAAATACAGTTAATTGTGTTAGATTAAAATATAAAAAAAACATAATATATATTTGTTTTTAGATTTCAACATTACGAAATTATAAGTGTTTTTATTTCATTTTGGTAATTTTACACAATATATCTAACAAATTTGTTATCGTAATATAAAATAAGAAAAACATAATATATATATATAGAGAGAGATTTAGATTTCTAACATTACAAAATTATGTGTATTTATTCCATACCGGTATCAAATACATAAATATATGAAATAATTTTTTTTATTGCAATGCACATTTAATTATTAGAGTTAACTATGTTGCCCTTGGGAATATGTCCAATTTTTACTATACTCTCCGCTCTCTGAAAGTTAAAAAATCTATTTAAATATTTAAATTTAATTTAAATAAAGTTTTCTGCCCTCTCTCTCTTTTCACTTTGTTAAACTCCTTTTCGTTTCTCTCTCTTCCCTCTGTCATTACTGTCTCCGTTTCTCTGTCTTCTCCTTCTCCTTCTCCTTCTCCGACGCCGCTTCTTCGCTGGATTCCTCTCGGTACGAGCACTATCTTCCACCGGAAAACCTCCTATGATCGCCGGGAAACTGCTTGGTCTGGTGGAAGAACCAAATTGTTGTCAGAACTAACTGTTCATCAGCTGCGATTACTTCGCCTTTGACCGGGAAATTTCGAAACGGCGAAGCTTAAGTTTCGATTTTGAGAAGCTTTTGCAGATCTGAGAGGTAATTGAAGCCAAAGGGTGGGTCACGTTTTCCGTTTTCTCCCTTATTCTTCAGCCCTCGTCCCCGTCTTCCGACCTGGTTCGCCGGCTTGTTCTTTCCGCGTTTGGTCGCAGTTTTGATGGTTTCGGAGGCGGATACGAACGGGGCTCTCGGTCGTAGACGATGAACGGTCCGCTGGAGAAGGATCGGCGACTTTGGTGGTGGTTTGGTAGCTATCTCACATGGAATGGCAGATCTTGATAGCTACGGTAATGCCGAGCACAACATTGAGCAGGTTCGTCTCTCTCTATGGTCATTGCTCAGACTGAGATCTTAGGAAAAGTTTTTGTTCTGTCTTTAGATTCTTTTAGAATGTCTGAAGCAGCTAAGCTCAAATCCTGTTACTACAAGTGATCGATAACTCCTTTTAACAATGGAATAAATCAAAAGTATATTTTCTAAAGCGTGAGGTTAAATTGGGGGCTTGATCAGTCAAGTTGAAGGTTTGAGCATCTCATATTTGTCTACTGAATAAGCTTTCTCAAGATTTCTTTACAGATTTGTACCACAGTATCTGAAAATCTGTCATATTTATGTGTGTATCTCAAGTCTTGAAAGTTAATTTGCAAACTTGATTTAAGTTCTCCATGTTTATGATTCTGCATCTGAGTTGCCTGTTCAGTGTTATCATTCGCCTACATTTGGCAGGGATTGATTGCATTGAAGAAGGGTACCCAACTTTTGAAGTATGGTAGGAAAGGAAAGCCGAAGTTCTATCCGTTTAGACTATCCAATGTGAGTTTCTTTCAGCTTTAGCCCTTCTTTTTACATGCCTGTTGGTGTCTGAGAATTTCCTCATTTATCAAAATTGTACTCTTTGGTGTCAAATGCATATCTTAGACAGTTACTCCAGTAGTTTCACTAATGATACGGTACTTTCATAAACCAAATTGATGTTTGATTATTCGCTTCTCGGTATCATCTCACTGTCTAACTTATGGAGAAAATGTACAGGATGAAACATCTTTGATCTGGATATCAAGTCGTGGTGAAAAGTTGTTGAAGTTAGCTTCTGTATCTAAAGTTATCCCTGGACAAAGAACTGTAAGATGTTGTCTTTTTAATATGGGATGTTCATGTTCTTAAGACAGTGTTTTGCCTATTCAATAGATCTTTTTCATATTTTTTAACAGGTCGTTTTTCAGCGTTATCTTCGTCCTGAAAAGGATTACCTATCCTTTTCTCTCATATACGACAACGGAAAGAAGTCCCTTGACTTGGTTAGTGATTATATTGATACCTAGATTGTGTTTCTGGAGAACTCTCTGTGATAACCAAACATAACAGTTTCATCCTTAGCAGATCTGTAAGGACAAGGTTGAGGCTGAGATTTGGATTGGAGGCCTTAGAGCATTAACATCAGCCAGGCAAGGTGGACGGTCAAAAATTGATGGTTGGAATGAGGGAGGACTTTCTGTTGATGTAAGTATCCTTGCAAGGGCTTCCTCTCTGTTGGGTTCTATCTTTATATCATTTTCCCCATGGCTTTCTCTTGCGAAAGTTTGAGTTCTTGATCCATAAAAATAGCCCGCTGCCTGCTACCTGTTAGTCTGTTACTTAAACGTATTATTTGTTCTAGTGATAGAAATCTCCCATATATAAATCCAATGTCTCGTGATGCATTAAAATAACTGCTTGATTTTGTATCTACTCCAGACCAGTAGAGATTTGACAGCCAACAGTCCAAGCAACAGTTCTGCAAGGGTGTCACGGGATCGTAGCTCTCCTGGTACTCCCTACAGTTTCAACCAGATTGCGTCTCCTAATAGTTCTGGGTCTGGGGTTCCAACTGACTCGGACAGATCACATGTAGCATCGGACACAACCACAAATATGCAAGCAAAGGTATCTGGTTCAGATGGAATCCGAGTTAGTGTCTCTAGTGCCCAAAGCAATTCCAGTCATGGTTCTGCAGCAGATGACACTGATGCTCTGGGTGATGTTTACATATGGGGTGAAGTTATTTGTGACAATGTTGTTAAGGTTGGTATCGATAAGAACACTAGTTATGTTACCACAAGAACTGATGTCCTTGTACCGAAGCCATTGGAGTCAAATGTTGTCTTGGATGTACATCACATTGCATGTGGTGTCAGACATGCTGCCCTTGTGACAAGGCAAGGAGAGGCTTTTACGTGGGGCGAAGAATCTGGAGGACGACTTGGTCATGGTGTCGGGAAGGATGTGTCTCATCCTCGCCTTGTTGAATCACTAGCAGCCACGACAACTGTTGAGTTTGTTGCTTGTGGAGAGTTCCACACTTGTGCTGTTACCTTGTCTGGAGAGCTATACACATGGGGTGATGGGGCACATAATGCTGGGCTTCTAGGGCATGGTTCTGATGTCAGTCACTGGATTCCAAAGAGAATCTCGGGTTCTCTCGATGGGCTTCAAGTGTCTTCGGTAACTTGTGGACCATGGCATACTGCTCTGATAACATCAACCGGGCGGCTTTTTACGTTTGGAGATGGAACTTTTGGTGTCTTGGGGCACGGTGACAGAGAAACAGTTCAATGTCCAAGAGAAGTTGAATCACTTTCCGGGCTTAGAACGATTTCTGTTTCTTGTGGGGTTTGGCACACTGCTGCTGTGGTTGATATCATCGTTGCACAGTCAAATGCAAGTTCTGCTTCATCAGGCAAGTTATTCACGTGGGGTGATGGCGACAAAAATCGTCTCGGGCAAGGGGACAAGGATCCTCGGTTTAAACCTACATGTGTGCCCGCACTAATCGATTACAATTTCCACAAAGTTGCGTGTGGACACAGTTTGACTGTTGGTTTGACCACATCAGGACAAGTTTTTACAATGGGGAGTACGGTTTATGGCCAGCTCGGTAATCCACAGGCTGATGGGAGGCTTCCATGTTTGGTAGAGGACAAGCTTGCGGGTGAGAATGTCGAAGAAATCAGTTGTGGGGCATATCATGTGGCAGCCTTAACATCAAGAAACGAGGTTTACACGTGGGGAAAAGGAGCCAATGGGAGGTTAGGTCACGGCGATATGGAGGATGCTAAAGTTCCAACACTTGTGGAAACTTTGAAGGATAGACATGTCAAGTTCATTGCTTGTGGATCTAACTATACGGCAGCTATATGTCTTCATAAATGGGTCTCTGGTACTGACCAGTCTCAGTGTTCAGCTTGCAGACAGGCTTTTGGGTTTACACGGAAAAGACATAACTGCTATAACTGCGGGCTCGTGCATTGTCATTCATGCAGTTCTAAAAAAGCATTCCGAGCTGCATTGGCTCCCAACCCGGGAAAGCTATATCGTGTGTGTGACTCTTGTTACGTTAAACTGAGCAAAGTTTCTGAAGTAAGCGACACTAACAAGAGGAACAACGTTGTTCCTCGTCTTTCCGGGGAGAACAAAGACAGATTGGATAAGGTAGAAATAGGGATAGCGAAATTTGGTACAACCAATGTGGAGTTGATCAAGCAATTGGATAGCAAAGCAGCCAAACAAGGGAAGAAAACCGAAACTTTTTCACTTGGTCGCTCCCCTCCTCTGCCTTCTTTGTTGCAGTTGAAAGATATAATTCAGTCTAATGCCGGAGATATGAGAAGGGCTTACCCGAAACCAGTTCTTGCTCCATCGGGTGTGAGCTCTCGGTCTGTATCACCTTTCTCTAGGAGATCTAGTCCTCCTCGCTCAGCCACTCCTATGCCTAATACTTCAGGACTCTCTTTCTCGAAAGGCATAGCAGATAGCCTGAAGAAGACTAATGAACTCCTGAATCAAGAGATCATCAAGTTGCGAACTCAGGTAATACTTGCTCAGACAAGGTCCTTGATTTTGCTTCCTAGTTTCAAAGTTCTCTCATGCTTCTTCTCGGATTGTTGGATAAAAGCTGACCAAGTTCCTGTTTGTATCACACATGTGGATCTAACGGAATCATGGATTTAATTTAGGTTGACAGCCTGAGACAAAGGTGTGAACTCCAGGAGATGGAGCTTCAGAGCTCGGCTAAAAAAGTTCAGGAAGCCGTGACAATGGCAGCAGAGGAATCTGCTAAATCGAGAGCTGCGAAGGAAGCCATAAAGTCGCTCGTAGCACAGGGGATAA